TCCCTCTCCGATTTTGGAAGGCACTTCAGATTCTTAAACCTTGGGGTGAGTGCTGTATCTATCCTTAGAAATCTCACATTGATACCTTCTTTGCATTTTGTCAAATCTGCTGTGAAAGTGTTCCTAAAACGAACAAGTGCTGGGTCATGATCCGAGACTGCTATAACATGAAATATATGGCAGAATGTGGGTAAAAGAGAACAGGAGACATATAATTCTCCCCCAAGGAGTTCAGTCACAAAATTAATTAATCCATTATTTTTTTAACAAGCATCCTCAGCATGAAAGCATGTCCTCTGGAATGGTGCCCGAAGCATGAAGGGGCATATGAATGTTTAGCATATCTGGCACGTAAATACTTTGCAACACTGGCTACTAGAGTGTCATGTGAACGCCTGTTCTCACTTTCAGGTGACATTGTAAATAAAAAGCAGTCAGCAGTATCTCCCGTAAATGTAAACAAACTTGTTCATCTTAGCAAGTGGCTGAACAAGAAGTAGGACTGAATGGACTTGTAGGCTAAAGTTTTACATTGTTTTGTTTTTGAGTGTAGTTATGTAACAAAAAAAATCTACATTTGAAAGTTGCACTTCATGATAGAGATTGCACTACAGTACTTGTGTTACATGAATTGAAAAATACTATTTCCTTTATCATTTTTACAGTGCAAATATTTGTAATAAAAAAATAGTGAGCACTGTACACTTTGTATTCTGTGTTGTAATAGAAATCAATATATTTGAAAATGTAGAAAAACATCCAAACATATTTAATAATTTTCAGTTGGTATTCTATTAACAGTGCAATTCATTTTTTAATTGCAGTTAATTTTTGGAGTTAATTGCGTGAGTTAATTGCGATTGATTTACAGCCCTACTACACATACATACACATATATATACAAACACACACTCTTGCTATTTCTACTTTTAAATACCTGTTAAAAAGCAGTGATGGCTACCATGAATGGGTCCAGATAAAGAAAATTACTTTCCTAGAGCTCAAGTATCAGGGGAAAGCTTATGCCCAAATAAATGTTAGTCTTTAAGGTGCCACCAGACTCTGTGTTGTTTTCCTAGAGCTGTATTACATAGCAAGCTTCAGCTGCTTCTTAGCTCCTTGATTTTTAGAAAACTAATTCTTGTCTCTCCTAAGCCAGAAACCTGCACAAGATACAAAGGTTATGTGACTAGGCACCACTCTTTTTTTAGTCAGACCTGCAGTGTTTCATGGAAACGTTGTTTTCCCCAGGAGTGTTTCTCTGGTACAGGATGGAATAGCTAGACAGACGCACCCAGGTTCAAGTCCCTGCTTTGAATCAGGCAAAACACGAGCTTGAATGTGGGTCACCCACATTGCTGCTGGGTGCCCTAATAACCAGGCTATTCTGGGCTTGTGCTTGCTCACTATTTATATGATTTTTTTTCTTCAAAATTTAAAAAGATCTGTTTCAGAATGAAAATTTCTTACCTCAAAACTTCTTGCAAAAAGGAAATATTGTCTTCTGGCCACCCAAGTGACAAATGCTAGTTAGCATATGCTTGGCTAGTTTCCATATTAAACTTTCATATTATTTCATTAATATTTATTCATTAAAAGCAGATTTTGTTTGTCATCAGTTTCATCCAAAAGCTGCCTGGGTGACCCAGCAATATAAAAATACAGGCAATGCCTCCCCATTAGATAAATAAAATTGGCTCATCTGGACACTACCAGGCAATAATCAAATTGGGTCACTTTCTAATGGCCAGAATGCAAAAATACTTTTCAAATACTTTTTTATTTTTGTGAGATGCTCAGCTGACTCAGAATGGCTTTGCTTTAAAATTTGGTAGGTACAGTACATGGTCCTGCATGAGGGATGTGGGCTTTGCTTTGAACAAGGGAGTTGCGTGAGCTAGTGATTTAAGACCAGAATGTAGTCATAGAAACTTTTGATTTCGACCACACATCCCAGTCATGTTTTGGGCCTTCCTTCTTTCACTTCCTATCTGTAATGGGGTACAGTACTGGTAAGTCACAGCTGGGAACGTTCTGAAGATTACTCGATAAATGGTAGTACAATTCCTTGAAACTGGAAAGGGCTTGACAAGCTAAATATTGGTTGAAGAAATTTGGTTTTGAAATCTTATAGCTTTTTGAAAATCTGACTTAAGCACAGGCCCTAGTCCTTATCTTTAGAAAGCTGCATCAGATTCGAGTGTACAGAATGTTCTCACTACCATTTCTAGCTAGAGAATGAAATGTGTATGTCTACTTAATGCCATCCTTTCTTAGATCACATGTTGTGTAAAGAGAACATACTTTTATTTAAAACCCATTTCCTACAGCAAAAACCTGCAACTTTTTTCTGTGGCACCTGCACATGCGCGCACATGCACCTTAACCTCCAAAGGCAATAGGTTAAGGCCAGTGAAAAGATCTCCTTTCTGACACTAATGTTGCTTTGTCTAATTTTATATAATACTTCATATCCGCTTGACCTGTTGTGGTCTAGAGCAGTGGTTTTTCAAACTTTTTTTTCTGGCGACCCAGTTGAAAATTGTTGATGCCCGCAACCCAACAGAGCTGGGGATGAGGGGTTTGGGGTGTGGGGAGGGGCTCAGGGCTGGGGCAGGGGATTGGGCTGGAGAGGGTCAGGGCTTTGGGCTGAGGGGTTTGGGGTTCAGGAAGGGGCTCTGCGTTTGAGGTGGGGCTCAGGGCAGGGGATTGGGGTGCTGCCTTACCGCTGGCAACTCCCGGTCAGCTGGTGTGGAGAGGCGGACTTCCCACCTGTCTTGGCACCGTGGACGCGCTGCGCCCTGGAAGCATCCAGCAGCAGGTCTGGCTCCTAAGCAAAGGTGCGCAAGCAGCTCTGCACAGCTCTTGCCTGAGGCACCGCCTCCCCCCCCAGCTCCCATTAGTCAGGAACTGGCCAATGGGAGTGCGGAGCTGGTGCTCGGGGCGGGGGCAGCGCTTGGAGTTCCGTGGCCCCCTGCCTAGGAGCTGGATCTGCTGCTGGCCACTTCCAGGGCGCAGCGTGGCATCGGAACAGGTAGGAACTAGCCTTCCTTAGCTGGGCAGCACTGCCAACGGGACTTTTAACAGCCTGGTCAGTTGTGCTGACCAGAGCCGCCGCGACCCAGTGCCTTACATTCCACGACCCACAGTTTGAAAACGACTGGTCTAGACAGATGAGGTAGTTATGTTTCAAACTAGTGTGTCCAAACCACAAGTGAACCCCACTTGTGAGGGCAGGCAATGCTGCACGACTTCCATGTCTGCCCCAATCCTCTTTTCCCACACATTCTGCAAATTTATCCCTGTTAATATGGACAGAGGGTGTGGTCAGCTTCCCCCCAATGCAGCACCATGCAGAGGCTTCACGCTCAGGCAAGCAGCCCGTTGTTCCAAGCTTCTCTCTCTGACTCTCAGCTCAGCTACAGAAACTCTTGCTGATATGGAGGTTTAGATCCATTTCAAAATAGACTAATTCATTTTAAGGCTTAGAAGCAGCCTCTGTGAGCTAGTCTGACCTCAACCAATCATAGCATTTCCCCAACTGATTCCTGCATCAAGCCCATGACTTTAATTGAACTAGAGCACATTTTTTATATCCTGAGTGGATAGCTAAGACTTCAGTTGATGGCAAAATCTCCACCTGCCTATGTAAGTTTCAGTAATGAGGGTTAAATCTGCAGCTTATTTCCAGTCAATTGGTTTAGCTTCAGCATCTAGCCACTGGAGTGCTGTGCCTTTGTCTATCAAATCGGATGTAGGTTCTACTAGCCTATGACAGTGAGTGATCAATGTTACCCAAAAGAGCCACAGTAGTGTGAATTCATGATCTAATTAACTTTTTTTAATATATATTTTCTCACAGCAAAATGACTGATCCAGTATTATTTTATCAAATAGTTCAATAACATAGTAAAAGCAGTCTGATTGGTTAATACTTAAAATCTCAGTGTTTTAATAGCATGTGCTGCAAAGAGCTGCAGGAGCCACATTAAATAGACACTTGCAGCTCACAAGCCTCAGTCTGAGTATCACTCTTAACCTTTATTCAGGTAAATGGATTTGAGTTTTCCTGGATTCTCTTTGTCCGGCTTTCCAGAAATTGAATAATTTTTGTAGTTCTCTTTTGAATCCTTTAAAAAACAATGTTGACAAATTGTGCAGTGTGAACACCAGGGCTGAGCACATTTGAAAATTCTACTCTACAGTTGCTGAGGCACCCGGATCCAATACATTCTCCTTTGACAAAGAAAATGTGTATAGGAGCTTTGCAATTAGCTTGGAATTTTGTCCTGCTTGCTAGAGACTGTTTCCTGTTGACTTTTGAATGCACACTACCTTGCACTAATCAGGTTTTTGTGTTGAACAAATTGTAGGCTGAAGCCTGATTTCAGTGCCCAGGAGGAAGTCTTTTTGTAAGGATCCCAAAAAAAAGCACCACCCATGGAAATATTAGTATTTCCATCCTTAGTGTCTCTACTGTACATACAACCTAGATTACTGTGTAAAAGTAGTCTATTACTATGTTAAACTTTGGGGCGGGGACTGGGGCTATAGATTGACTGCTGTTAACACCTCTCAGGTTAGCCTCTCTTGCGTGAGCATGGCAATACTGCAGAACACACAAACTGCACCAACCACTTATAGGAGCAGCTGATGAGTTGTGCTAATTTGAGCTGTAGCTTAATAGACCCTGATGGACCAGCCAATTCAAATTTAAAGCACCACCACACTTGCATTAAGGGTCTGTGTGGACAGGACTTGAGTTGGGGACAATGCTTGAGTTATAATTTGAATTAATCTTATAGTGAGGAAAACCCTGAGTGTTCCTAGATGTTGTGTAGAGGCCTGGCAGTGCTCCACTCCCACGTGGTGCCTCTAGGTGGGCTTGAGGTAGCCCAAAAAAAAAAAGTGCCTCCCCACCTCTCACCCATGGTGATGTGCCTCGTTTGGATGAAAAATAATACACTAAAGTTCTTTATCTCCTTTTCCCCCTCCCCCAGCTTGATACAAGTGAAAGCCTCTGAGAAGCAGAATTTATTTGACATGAACACAGCAACTCAACCTTTGAAGTCCGTAAAGAAGTGCCTTAATCAGCCCACTGAGTGGAATCTGAATTTTGCAACGGTATCTCTTGCCAATTGTAAAGTTTTTAACCAAAATCTCAAAACTGATGAGAACAAATAGATTGCAGCTATTCTTGCACTATTATTTTGTACATTGTTTTTCTTCTGCTGAATCATAAGCATTTATTAAATTGATCTTGAAATGATCTCTTGTGATTTGGCTTTATATTAAAATCATTAGCATTATTCATTTTGATGTACTCTTTGTATGTTTTTTACATGAAGGTTTGCATTTGACCATTATGGAATTTTGCAGTACAAATCTCATATCAGATGTTTCCCTTTTAATAGTATTTCATGGGGGGGGCGGGAGGTTATGTTCTTTTAAGTTTAATTATATAATTATCCCAGTTTTATTTTTGTGCATGAAAGTTAATATATTTTGTGACATGGGTCACTAACTGTAAAGATTTATGGCAATGATTCAGAAACAATTCTGTAACAGGTGGAGACTGACTACCTCGAAGCAAAGCAGTAAAAAGATAAGGCAAAGATGTATAAAATCTCATTCATAAATGTTCAAAATTTACAGAACAATCAGATTGCACAGTATGTTTTCCTTCTCTAGGGGGTTGAGGGTGGGGTTTATTTTCACTTATCCTGAGAACGTGTCAATATTTAAAAATTAGTCTAAAAGAAAGGCCAGCCTTGCAGGAGAAATCTCTTGAAAGATTGTCATTCAACCCTGTATCTGCACTTTTTTAAATTGATGTTTCTGATAAGTGGTCTATTTTGTTTTGTTTCTATGAATTTTCCTGTCACCAATTAAAATGGATGTAAACACATTTCCAGTTAATTGCTTTATTGCATTTTAGAATTAATTTCACACTTCAACAGTATACCTCTTAAGCCCATGTAAATGTTTCCATTTTATTACCTAGTAGACATTTTTATCAAGCCTAAATCATAGCCTCAGCTATGGTTATTTGACATGTCTAATAAAAATTGTAGTGATAGTAGTGTGCTGTTACATTAGTTACTTAGAAGAAACCTATACTGCACATTTCCCTTTTCTAGATGCACTTATTTTATGGACAGAGCAAAGATTCTTTCTTGGTTCTATATTATCAAGGATGGAGAACTCAGTGAGAGTCAATAGCCTGGAAGAAGTGTCCTTCAATGACAGTATCTATTTATAAATTTTAGACAAAAGTGTCCTGGTTGTTTGCAGCACTGACTCACCCTCTTGGAATGTAAGGGGGAAGGCTTTAAAGGTGCAAGCCCTGGCATTGGAAACCCCTTTCTCCACGCAGCAGGCAAGGCAGCACCGACCGTCTCTCCCTTTGATGTGTGACTATCAGGTGGGGTTTGAACCTGCTGTGGGCATTGTACTAGTTGCTTCTTTTTTAGAGGGCTTGGGAAAGAATTTTTTCCCTCGCCACCATATTGGTGTCAATGGAGTGGGTTTTTGTTGTTTTTTTGCCTTTCCCACAGCAGGGGTTAAGGAACATCTAACTACAACTAGAGAGAGAGAGAGAGTAAAAATGGATTCTGCCAGGGCAGAGAGCAGACCCCTATGTGCTCATAGCAAACTGTGTGGCCTTTTGTACCAATTGCAGCTTATTGGGTGGTGATTTCATTCCTAGATACGAGTTGCAGGAAATCAGGTATACAGGATTTTTCTCCTCTAAACAAATATCTACTCAGCCTGAAACTAGCAATGCTGTTTCAGCTATCACCAGTGTACTACATCAAGACACACTCTAGCAGGTATTAAGATACTTCAAAGCAGATAAAAGAGCCAGACCCAGCATCTGCCCTATTTTTTCTAAATAGGACTTTCAGAACTTCGACAGTGTACATTTTTAACTTGACTGCCAAAGCTTGTTTTCTTAACAGTAATCACCTAGGGGTGGCGGGAAGGGAGAAAGTGTCCAATCACATCCCTCTCCTAACAGCCCTATTTTGTCCTTTGCTAAAACAGTAGTTTTACAAATCACCCATGTACTTCCTTACCAACATAAGTCCTATACTGCATGGGGAAGCCTGCCAACATCTTCCAGAAAGAACAAACAAGTCCTTTCAAAAAAAATTATGGCACAAAAGTGGATGTTCACAAAGTGAACCTTCAGCGCACAGAATCTATGAGGAAATCCACCCATTTATCAATTTCTATCCAAATCACAGGTTTCAAAATTCTAAGGAAATAGATAAAATATTGCATCAAAGAAAGGTTTACAAGCTTTCAAACAGTACCAGCAAGAATAACTAACCCCAAGTTCCACAGCCACTTACAGGCAGAAAGATGTCTGGCAACAACTGAAAGACATGCAAAGCTGCAATGGCATCAATTCTACTTTGCTTGTGTTCTGTAAGCAAGTCCTAAAATCCTATATTTAGTGCCTGAAGACGCAGGGAAGGTCTATAACAAGTTGCTTCCTCTTTTCTTCCCCTATGCATTTTCTGAGAAGCAGGGGAAATGTGATTTGGAATAGATAAAAGCCACAAATCAAGTTTTAGTAAGACTTTATACTTTTATTACACAAACAGAAAATATGCATCTAATTAAGGAGTGATTGTCAATATTAACACTAATTTAAAATATTGTAAAGTTCCTGGGAACTTCATGTTTTTACAACAACTATAGAAAGATTAAAAAAACTGGATTGACAGTAAAACAAAACTTATTTTTATAAGTCTGTTGTGAAGAGCTGGCTTTCATGAAGGACTCTTCTCTCGCTCACTCATCTTCAATCGTCTGCTTCTACATTCAGAAGCTTTGAGAGATTCATTCGAGTTTTCTCGAGTGCTGCTGTTTTTGCTCGTCTTGAAGGTCTTGAACTTGGCAACATAACTGGTTCTGGAACTTCATCTCCACTAAATATAAAAAGTTTCAAAATGGCCACAAAAAAGTTGTAAGCAAATTTAAATGTAAATACATTGCCTTGAAACCACTGAATAATAAACTACATTCTTTATTGTAGACACTGCACTGGATAGAGGTTGTAAGTTTATTTTTAAATAGCTATGTATCAATTAGAATATGCGACCACCACAAAGGGATAACCAAAGGTTAGTAATTAAAGTGTATGGAAAACAGCAAGATTAGCTTTTAGGGGCTATTAACATAAAACAAAAATTGTTTAGACAAATTAAAGGGCCTGATCATATTGAAGTTAATGGGTCACGTGCTTGACCATAGGCAGATGTGGGTCCACGGTTAGAGTTAAGATACCACAGATAACAGCATTGTGTAATGGGGTGAAGTGAATGGCATTCAATTGTTTATTGCCAAATGTTGGTTTCTAAAGTTTATCAATTTACAAATTAAAAAACTAAATAGCAACAAGATAGTAGCAATTAGTGTAGCAGAGGTAACATTACAAACCCTTCCCTACATATCTGTTACACAAGAACAAAACTGGAAGATATACTGGAAAAAAATTAATGCAGGTTGGATTTCTTAGCTTTGAGCCTTAGCTAGTAAAGAAATTGTTTTATTTCCTTACTTTTTCTTAACTAGTACTTCTGAAGGAGACTGAACATTTATGGACAGCTTTTACTTATTTTTTATTACCCTTGTTGAGAAGTCTGGGATTAATTCTATAGAATATATAGTCAACATGTAGTTTATCTTCTGTGCTTGGAACATCTAATTTTAAAAAGGAAGGTCATATGGATGAAAGGGTTTGAATTAAGTTTGCTTGCGAGAAAGAAGGAAGGAAGTTAGAGTGGCAGGAGGGACGTTGTGCATTCATTACACAAGACTGTTTACCTTTCACTGTCAGACGCTACCGTTTTACGATTTCTTCTTGTGTTCACAGACCTAGCCTCTGTGTTTACTTTTCTCTGCCCTAAAACACAAATGAAAGTTACCCATCACCAGAACAATGACAATGTGCCTTTTGTTCAAACAACCTTCACATCTTAGAACTCCTAGAGACTTTTCACTTCTTCAATACTACTTTTCCTAAACAAATTTCCCTCACCATACATGGATAGTTCCTTACACTAGTGACTCTCAACCTTTCCAGACTACCGTACCCCTTTCATGACACCAGCACTATTGTGTGGTAGTCCAAAAGTAGACCATTTGAAAATGACTATTAAGTCAAGGATGTTATAGTGATAAGAACTGTTTCATAAACTCTGTCAGAGATGATGTTTTATTTATTTTTTAAAAATCTAAAAGGCTTTAAAGCAAATTATGCTACAACATAAAGATATTTTTGCTGCAATTCCTATAGGGCTTACTTTAAATTTAAAAAAAATATTTGTAGCTGTTAATGTTAAGCTACAAAACTTAAGTCATCTCATACCTCTAGTAGCTTTGCTTCTTGTAGATTTCTGCTTTGTAGGAGCATTATCTTTATGTTCATTAACAGGACTTTGATCAGCTTCTTTATTCTTTTCTGTGTAACAGAACAGCGTATCAGGCCAATCATAACAGATGTGATCTTTATATACCAATGCTGAAAATAAACTAAACAAACCTCTGCCGTCATTTTTTAAAATTTCAGTCATTTTTAATTTAGAAAAAATGGGAACAAACACTAGCAACCATTGCAAAGTGTGGTTTTCTTTACAGAAGTGTGCTCAAACTTTTCCAGTTGCATCCCTCCTTACCAGTAATGGAATCTGCCTGCCCCCTCTCCTCCCTCCAATTACTGCACAGTCAAGGCTTCCTTAGCAGCAGAGCTTGGGCTGAAGGCGGAGTTGGGGATGGAGAAGGAGCTGGGTTGGGGGGCATGGCACTCCCTTCCTGCTCCCCCCCCCCCCCGTGGGGGCTCACCACAGCCCCACACCCTCCTAAATATTCCTCTGCATCCCCCTAGGGGGGGCACACCCCACAATTTGAGAACCACTGCTTTAAGGATGCAAGAGCGCTCTCTGCAAGAAAATATGTACTGAAATGCAGAATCTCCCTTCCTCTTTGTGGGAACTTCACACTGGAAAGAACGAACGATTAGCCAGCAGCAGGCAAAGGCTGTTATCCCACAGCTGGAGGAAGGAGCCGGGGGGGGAGAGGGAGGGTACACAACCTAAACAAAGGAGTCACTACCGGCTCCCCCTACAATGAATATGCAAAGATGAAAACAGCTGAAATCGTTATACATATTTTGTGACACAGCTCTGAATTAAATTTATTTTAGTCTATCAGCCCCACTGAGCTATGACTGCTGGAGCTTAGTACTCTGAAATGAAGAAGTTCAGGCCCTGAAGTAAGCCACTAATAAAGCAGCAGAAAGGAAAAGCCAACTGAGTGGTCTTCAAGTCAGCTTAAGACAGTTGCTTAGCTATTTAGATAGGAAACGGATCAAGACCAGTTCCTGGAAGGATTTCTAGACTCCTTGTCTGAAGGGGTGCTAACAGATCTGGGTTACTGATAGCATAGGAACTGCAAGTGGTCCACCTGCTGCCTAAACGGTACAGAGGGTGGGTAGCTTCTTGCTGCACAACTACAAGTGCAAAGTCTAACTCCAGATGCATAAGCTAACACTGAGAAGACACATCGCTGCGAACATATGACTACAATAAAAATTAGTCTGAAAAACATAAGAAATCTCTTTTGAGAAAAACTGGAGATATGAAAAGAACTCAAGTCCAACAAGCAAGAAAAGGAAAGAAGAACTTGAAAACCAGTGAAAACTTTTAAACTCAGTAGGTTTTCAGGCTAGTTAGTAGACACTAGTATTCAAGAGATAAGTGACTATTCAAATCTGCTGAAGAAAGCCCACCTGGTTAGTGTAACATTTATTTAGGAATAGACTGTGAAGAGAATCGCTAATGGAGAAGTGTGTAGCAATTCTCACACAAGAGAAATATGCAAATTGAATGGGAAAACAGCAGAGAAACAGGTAAAAAGCTAGAAAAAAACCCAATAGGTTAAAATAGTCCATTTTCAAAAGGGTAAGAATGTACAATTTACAACTTATATTTTTGTTACTTTAAAACTTTTCATAGTAAAGAGAGCCTGTATGTTTCTATGAAAAAAAAAATATACACAGCCCACCCCACCCGCATTCAGGGACTCATTTATTCTCCTGTTAGCCATACTTTCACTACATTACCTTCCTCATTTGGATTAACATGCTCAGATGTTGTGGTGCCAGTTTCCTGTTCTACTTCAGAGCGGTCTTTGTCTATATCATTTCCTTTGCTTAAATTTATCTTGAATTTCTCAATCACTCTTTGACACAACTTATCTTTGACCTTCTGTGGGTAGAAATGTTTCATATTAATATTGCTTAATTCTGAAACAGCTCAGTTTCTACATATCTTCTAATATAGGATTATCCACAAAATCCTGGCATTTCTGTATCTGAGAATCATGCACCCCTCACTATAGCAAATTCGACTAGTACCATATTTTGTATGGAGATAAAACACTCTCTAAGTTATGGATACTAACACACAAGGTAAATTATTTAGGAAACAACAGGGTGGATCAGTTTAAAAACCATAGTGGTTACATAGCAATTTAGATCAAGAATAAAAAAACTATTTAGGTCACCAGCATTAATCCTTTGTTCATTTTAGAATTAGTGGCCGAAATAAAAGGAAGGCTATCGATCAATAATCTGAATTCTTCAAGATGAGTCCCTGCACATTCACACTAATGGGAGGTGTATCTGCAGTGCAACAAGCTATTGGAACCTTTGAAAGCAATGCCTGTTGGGGCACTTGTGTGACTCTGAACATTTCAGAGGAGACCATGTAAGGGCCTGGACCTTCTTGAATCCCATCATAGCTCTGTGATCATACGAGAGCTCCAACCTAAAATCCCCTATTTATTTGGTAAAAACTACAATGTACAAGGTACTAAGAGTATAAATGTTTTCTGCTATTAAGACCAAGGAAAGCTTCCAGGTCTGCATATAATCTCTGTTGGAAGGAAATGAGGCAGTTGGGCACCCTAGCCCCTTTTATACCTCACCTTTGGAACATTAAGAGCTGTAGGGGTAGGAAGAAGTGCAGGCATCACAATGGGCAGGGCTTCCAGAAGGTTCCATCAATTTGCTGTACTGTGGTGTAAGCAGGGGGCCAACTCACCAACCAGTGTGTCAAATAAAGCTGCCAACAGCAATAGAATGGCAGTCCCTTTCTTCCAGCATGAGTTTATTTTTCAAAATCCAAACAGTACAACTGAAAGCAAAACAGATAAACCAGGTTCTGATGCCTGGCCCTTCCTGAAGCCTCTTCCTCAAAAGGCTTCTGCCACATCCCACAGCAGATATCTCCAGCCAGATCTTCCACCTAGTTGGTGCAGAGAGCCCTTCCCCCACCATTCCCTGATCATGGTCTTCTGGAAAAGACTTCCTGCTTGCTGGCCTTTTATCTGAGGACAAGGTGACCTACTGGCCATCGCCTAAGCCCTGGCCTCAAACCCCCTATCTGGAAGGCAACTAGTAACAGGTGGGGCTAAGCCCACATCCCTTAAAAGGGCCATCCCACCCCATGACACACAGGTAATAGTGTAATACCACAATAGTCCTAAGGCCATTCAAAAAAGGCAAATTAGTTCTCATTACTGGGAGGGTAATCTGAGGGGGAAAGGAGTCCAGGAGAGCTGGCTGTGTTTTAAAGAAGCCTTATTGAGGGCGCAGGAAGAAACCATCCCAATGTGCAGAAAGAATAGTAAATATGGCAGGCAACCAGCTTGGCTTCACAGAGAAACCTTCGGTGAGCTTAAACACAAAAAGGAAGCTTTCAAAAAGTGGAAACTTGGACAGATGATAGGGAGGAGTATAAAAATATGGTTTGTGCATGCAGGGGTGTAATCAGGAAGGCCAAAGCACAATTGGAGTTGCAGCTAGCAAGGGATATGAAGGGTAACAAGAAGGGTTTCTACAGGTATGTTAGCAACAAGAAGGTGGTCAGGGAAAGTGTGGGACCCTTACTGAATGGGGGAGGCTACCTAGTGACAGATGATCTGGAAAAAGCTGAAATACTCAATGCTTTTTTTGCCTTGGTCTTCACAGACAAGGTCAGCTGCCAGACTGCTGCACTGGGCAGCACAGTATGGGGAGGAGGTGAGCAGCCCTCAGTGATGAAAGAACAGGTTAAGGACTATTTAGAAAAGCTGGACATGCACAAGTCCATGGGGCCGGATCTAATGCATCCGAGGATGCTGAGGGAGTTGGCTGACGTGATTGCAGAGCCATTGGCCATTATCTTTGAAAACTCGTGGCGATTGGGGGAGGTCCCGGACGATTGGAAAAAGGCAAATATAGTGCCCATCTTTAAAAAAGGGAAGAAGGAGAATCTGGGGAACTACAGACCGGTCAGCCTCACCTCAGTCCCTGGAAAAAACATGGAGCAGGTCCTCAAGGAATCCATTTTGAAGCACTTGGAGGAGAGGAAGGTGATCAGGAACAGTCAACATGGATTCACCAAGGGCAAGTCTTGCCTGACCAACCTGATTGCCTTCTATGATGAGATAACTAGCTCTGTGGATATGGGGAAAGCGGTGGAGGTGATATATCTTGACTTTAGCAAAGCTTTTGATATGGTTTCCCACTTGCCAGCAAATAAAAAAAAAGTATGGATTGGATGAATGCACTATAAGGTGGATAGAAAGTTGGCTAAATCGTCAGGCTCAACAAGTAGTGATCAATGGCTCGATGTCTAGTTGGCAGCCGGTATCAAGTGGAGTGCCCCAGGGGTCTGTCCTGGGGCCGGTTTTGTTCAACATCTTCATGGATTGCACCCTCAGCAAGTTCGCAGATGACACGAAGCTGTGGGGAGAGGCAGATACACTGGAGTGTAGGGATAGAGGCCAGAGTGACCTAGACAAACTGGATGATTGGGCTAAAAGAAATCTGATGAGGTTCAACAAGGACAAGTGCAGAGTCCTGCACTTAGGATGGAAGAATCCCAAGCACTGCTACAGGCTGGAGACCGACTGGCTAAGCAGCAGTTCTGCAGAAAAGGACCTGGGGATTACAGTGGACGGAAAGCTGGATATGAGTCAACAATGTGCCCTTGTTGCCAAGAAGGCTAACGGCATATTGGGCTGCATTAGTAGGAGCATTGCTAGCAGATCGAGGGAAGTGATTATTCCCCTCTATTCGGCACTGGTGAGGCCACATCTGGAGTATTGCTTCCAGTTTTGGGCCCCCCGCTACAGAAATGATGTGGAAAATTGGAGAGAACCCAGCGGAGGGCAACAAAAATGATTAGGGGGCTGCGGCACATGATTTATGAGGAGAGGCTGAGGGAACTGGGCTTATTTAGTCTGCAGAAGAGAAGAGTGAGAGGGGATTTGATAGCAGCCTTCAACCACCTGAAGGGGTGGTTCCAGAGAGGATGGAGCTAGGCTGTTCTCAGTGGTGGCAGATAACAGAACAAGGAGCAATGGTCTCAAGTTGCAGTGGGGAAGGTCTAGGTTGGATATTAGGAAAACCTATTTCACTCGGAGGGTAGTGAAGCACTGGAATGGGTTACCTAGGGAGGTGGTGGACTCTCCATCCTTAGACGTTTTTAAGGCCTGGCTTGACAAAGCCCTGCCTGGGATGATTTAGTTGGGGTTGGCCCTGTTTTGAGCAGGGGTTGGACTAGATGACCTCCTGAGGTCACTTCCAACCCTAATCTTCTACGATTCTATTCTATAGTCCAAGTTGTAAAGGACTATCTTCAATTTTATTTACACGTGATAAAATAAGCTGCAGCACATCTATCGTGAACCTTACTGTGATGACATGAAAAACATGGCATGTTGCTTCAACTTATTGCACTGGTTGAAATGGTTCATTGTATTTTAACAACATAGTTCATAGTGATCTCAGCCCACAGATTTACTCATTTTTAATTAGATTTGTTTAAAATATAAATATCCTGATTAAAACAAAAATAATTCCATCCTGATTAGTATTATAGTTTACACAGATTATTTAACAAAGAACTAAAACAAACTATGGAATACTACTGGGATACTAAATTTTTAGCTATTAAAAAGGTACCAAGAGCAATGTAACACAATTTATTTGTATACTACCTACCTCAAGGATCTCGTCAAGTAGAACCAGAAGATCTTTTGTGAAATATTTGCTGAGTTCTAATGAACTCAAGGCTTTCGCATAAATACGAACATCTGGTGCAGTTGGGTCTATCAAGATCTCATTGCAGATTTTCACGGCTAAGCTATCATGCACTGTTAAATCCTGGAAAAATCGTAAGAATATTCTGAAAGTTGGTTGAAAGTTATTTACATGAGAAGACCGTGTAATGTGCCTAACGTAAGTATCCAATCAGCTATGTTAAATGGCAAAAAGTAAAGTTTCTCAAAAAGCAGCATTTTAAGTATGTGTGCCAATTTATGTACGTGCACGCGCGCGCGCACACACACACACACACACACACAGAGGAGGGAGCAAACAATAACTGCTGGTAAATTAAGTACGGTGGTGTTGCTTTAGCCACATGAGAAAACAGCAAGCTAGAGACAGGTCACTTGGGATGATCTCTCTCCTTCCCTCTTATACAGGAGCCTCAAAGGGAGAAATCTTCACAGAGTGATAGCAGTGGCTGGGTTGTTGGGATGCAATCTCTAGCCACAAACATCAAAGTAGCACCCCATCAGCCATAATCTACATACTTGGTAATCCTGGGACTTTTTGGCCTGAGGATTCAGTCCACTTGGTCTTGTCAGGTCCACTAACAGTTCAGAAACATTAGCAATATCTACTTCAGCCAAAGGTGAAGATGCAGGAGCATTAAACAGTGTTCGCAGAGTTGGAAGAAAGGCTTCCTCAAAACATTCCTGATTAGTCCTGTTTTAAAAGAGGCAAATGCTAGTAACACAATATGAAAATGTGATCAGAAGTTCATCACAGCCTCAGCTCAGAACTAGCACAGTGTTTTGTGGGGCCTCAGTAGACCCAAACCTTCCAATCCCATCCTAAGGATTGGGGCCCACCGTGGACCAGGGGTCCTGTCTGTTTGCTGGATCAGTAAGAAGGCCCTGAGCCAGTTTAAATCCAGGTTATTTATCTAACAATCCTTTCTCTGTCTGTTGGTCCCTGAAGAATCCAGTTCGCAACTCTCCAGAGTGCGGGGGCAGAGAGGGGTGGCTTCAAAGGGATGATAACCAAGGAAGTACATTAGCATCCCCCTATTAGAGAAGGTACATTCAATGCCACAATAGAACATACACAATTGCATTTTTAATAGTGGTGACTCTGGAACAAAGAATGACCTTGACTTGGTGGGATATACCGTAAGACTAATGTTCGAAGATAAAGATTTCAGACTCCTCTTGCCAATATAACTGCAACCAGAGAATGTGTCTCAATAAGACCAGATAACCTGCTCACATGTAGAAGAACTAATCACAGAGGTCAGAGCCCATTATTCCAGATTGCGGGACACTGAAGACATATATCCTAGTTTCATTTTGATACTGTACTCAACAGAAGTTAAGTGAAAAATTATCCTCTCAATAAAGTGACTTATTCCTGCTCTTGGCAGAGTAGTGATAGGAAATTAAGGGATTTTCCCCACCACAATTTCCCTCTCCCCACCCCCAATTAATTCAACTGTCCTTTTAGTAGCAATCTGTAGTCCAACAGAAACTTTAAATTCACTTTTTATTGTAAAAAATAGATTAGTAACTATTTAATATTCCCAATTTAGCTTTTATACTAGCTAGCCACAAACTGCCACTCAAAGAGTAGCCAGTCATATTTTTTCAGTGGCAGAGAAGGAAAGGAGGGGAGTTTAAGTCTGCCACATTTTTGTTGTGTTTATTTAAACCTCACCTTTCCCTCTCCCCGACCAACCTCCCTCTGCCCCACAAAAACAAATACCCTGCATTGAAAATCCTGAATCTGCTAATTTAATTATTTAAAACAGGAGCCCAACTGTTTCCTCTACACAGCTGCTGAGCACTAAGGTCAGTTTGTCTGTTTCCTTTTGAAGTTCCACTGCTAGTGTTCCTTCAGTGACACTTCAATGCCTGGCTGCAGTGCTCAGCAGCATAAACAAGTAAAAATAATTCTGTTTATATTATCTCTTCCTTAAGAAATTCAATAAAGAGTTGGATCAGAGCTCCCAAAGCAGTTTCACAGGCAGCAGTAAAAAAAAATTTAGGAGAGGGGAAAGAAAAGGACAAAAGGAGATAAAAGGGAATTTCAAAAGACTAGAAGAGATTTATTCCACTCCAACCCTCCAACCCTAACTGCACGTCTTAAACATCGGCACGGTTATCTCACTGTCATAGTAATCTATGCGCAGACAGAGGAATCTGCTGACTCAGTTAAAGATCATTTCTATGAGCAATTGGAACATCTAGTATGCACAGTCCCTCCACATGATGATCTCGTGATCCTGGGTGACCTAAATGCAGTTACGGCTCCCTGCGAACCGGATTTGAACAGGTCATTGGTCATTATGGTTCAGGCACACCCAATGATAACTCTCGCCGCTTGCTTACATTCTGTGCCTCCCAGAATCTTTCCATTCTTGGGTCATGGTTCAAGTGGCGACGCATACATCAGATGTCATGGATCTCTCACGATGGCGTCACTCAGACGGAGTTGGACCACATCATTACACGCGATAGACGTCTCTTCGCCTCCTGTAGAGTATATCATGGTGCGGAATGCACGGCAAACACAGATCACCTTCTAGTGGTCACCCGTATGGTGTAGATGCTCCAATGAGCAGGTAAATCCTCTGCGATGATTAAATTTGATATTGACGCACTCCGTGTGCCAGGTTTAGCCAACAGGTTTTGTATTGACATCAGCAACAGATTCTCGGCTCTAGCTAATCTGCCAGATGACGTGGAGGTTCCCTGGTCCCTGTTCACTTCTACCCTCAACCAATCTGCTAAGTAGACGACTGGCTATAGGCATCCAGCACGCCGAGCATGGCTATCAGAGAAGGCCTTCCAGATAATGAAATTGAAGTCTGCAGCCCGCCAGCGTGATAAGCGCACTTGTAATCAGCTGAAGTGAAAATTTAACACCCTGGAACTCGGTCATCGCGAGGCATATTATAACCAAGTGGTGGATGTCGTCGAATTCGGCTTAGCCAGGGGCGACTTGAAGCCAACATTCCGTGCCATTCGTAACCTCAGCAGTCAAGAGGTAGTCATTACAAACGGCATCCTGAACGACATGTCATCGCATGATGACATTCTCTCACGCTGGGTGGAACATTATAGCAGTGTCCTGAACCATCCTCCAGCTGCCGCTTGTTCAGAGCTGGATGATCTGGCAGTCACTGCGGTTCCGGATCCAGACATTTGTACTGATGCACCAACATTGGATAAAGTGAAGTGTGCCATCTCTAAACTGAAAAACGGACGCGCAGCCAGTGCTTATGGCATCCCCTCAGAGCAGCTACACTGCGCTGTTGATCCTGGAGCAGAATCACTTCTAGCCATCTTTCATCTGGTGTGGAGAACTGGAACCCTGTCAACCGCCTGGAAGGACGGTATTGTGATCTCACTCTATAAGGGCAAGGGACCGCACAGTGAATGTAAGAGCTACAGGCCGATCACCATGCTCTCCGTTCCAGGGAAGGTGTTTTTGCATGTTTTGCTGGCATGCCTGGAGTCTTTCCTACATTGGAAGCATCATCCCAACAGTCAGGTTTTACGAGGAACAGGTTCACATTGGACGTCATTTTGGCCCTTCGCTTGTTGTCAGAGATACATCGTGAGTTCAGGAAGCCCCTGCATATAGCGTATGTTGATCTTAAGGCTGCATTTGATTCAGTAGACCGTGTCACCTTAATGAAGGCCTTAAAGGGCATAGGTGTCCCTACCACTCTGGTGGACTTGATTAGAGAGCTGCATAATGGAACCACTGCCCGTGTTAGTCTGGGGAACCGGATGTCAGTGCCTTTTAAATCAGTATCTGGTGTTAGGCAGAGTTGCATTCTGGCCCCTGCACTCTGTCAGGCAATGGATTTCATAATGCAGCATTCTGTCAGGTCCATAGGCATTGAAATCGGTGATTTCTCACTCACAGACCTTGACTATGCTGATGATGTTGTTCTTTTAGTACAGAGCCCCAACAGGTTTCGTGAGGCACTCCAGCATGTGGAGGAGGAGTCAGATAAGATTGGTCTCCATGTTTCATGGTCAAAGACAATACTGCAAAATTTAGGACCAGGTCCACCAGCAACTCCAATCTCTTTGAACAACAAAACAGTTTCCATCTTTTGCTATTTGGGTTCTATACTTACCAGCTCCTCCAATTCTCACACAGAGGTTCTCCATTGGATTGGCATCACAGCATCTGCCATGGGCCGTTTACAATGGATATGGAATCAACATCATCTTAGTATGACAACCAAGTTCAGGATTTATTCAAGCTGTCTCCTTCCCATACTGTTGTAGGGCTGCGAAACATGGACACTACACAGCGCAGATTGGACAAAGCTGGAGACTTTCCACACAGAATGTCAATGTTGTATACTGGGCATACAGTGGAATGACTTCATTTGTAATGCAGATGTTTATGGTTGTTCGGGTCTACAGACTACTAGGGCCATTGTTCACAGGCGGCACCTCATGCTTTTCGGACATGTCGCAAGTATGCCACAAGATATTCAAGCAAACGCCGTTCTCTGGGTAGCTTGTAAAATCCGGGATAAAATTCCACCAACTGAGGGGTGGAGGCGGCCCAGAAGCAGACCCCCTAATACATGGGTTCATCAAGTCTGTTCTGATGTTGCACACTCTGGGCGTCAAGCCTTTGCGGTTGTGCAGGAATGGGCCAAATGGCGAACGATCGCTACGGCCGACCGTCTAGCTAAGCGTTGAAGAACCCTCCATTAAAAAAAATATGGAGGTGTGGATTTTATTTCTAGGTATGTCCCAGATGTAACCAAAACAGTAGAGTGATCAGTGTTGATTGCCATATACTAATGCAGCGCAAAGGAATAAATGAATCTTCGTGTGCAAATAGATACACACTATTACTATTTTAACTCTCTCAAGAGGGAGCATGAAAATGATCACCTTACCTTCTTAGGAGGCTGTAAATTAAACCTTTAAACACATAGTTAGGCACTTAAACGTGCCCCGATTTCAGAGTCGTTGAGATGCGACAACTCCCAATGAAATAAATGCGAACTGCAGGTGCTCAGACCTACTGAAAAATTAGGCCATTTATTTAGGTGTCTAATTTTAAGTACTCAGGTTCGACAATGCTGTCCTTATTTTCTTAGGCTACTGTATCATAATTACGTAGTACATCCCACATACAAAACGTATGGGAATCACAAGAACAAAATCAGGTAAAACTACAACCTAGAAAAGAAAGAAAAAACAATGTATGATTTCAACATCAGATTTTAAAAAGCTCATACCTATTTGCATAAGCAAATAAAGGGAAGAAAACTCCCAGACAGTGTCTAAGTTGAGTATCGTCTTCTGTCACTGGATTATACCACAACAAAATGAGACGAGAAAGAAATTTGGCACTAATTAACCTTCCAGAGAACATCAACTTGGCCAGGCCTTCTGCAGCTTCTGTCCTGAGTTCTGAAAACTTAAGTAAAGAAAGACTGGATCAGAGACAGAAGTACAGTCCTTTGACTGACACACATTAGTTAATTGAAAAGTAAAGCCCCAATCTTACACTGAGATTCATGTGGATACATGCCTACACCACCGACAACCTCAATGCAGGCTCAGAGTTGCATCCTTAGTGTCAGTGAAACTCTTAAAATAGCATCCCCCAGACACTTGTAAGTTACTGTAAATGTAAAATGAATGATATCCAAATCCACACTAATAGAATTCAGGAGCCTCAAATCTCTATCATGAAACCTACAGCTAACATACTGGAAAAATAAAACAACTTCTTAGTTTCCAATCCATTTCCAACACAGTTAAAAGTGAAAAAATGGATTTCAGAACACACAACTTTGCTACAGCAATCCTGCCATTTCATTGCTCTTGTACAGCTACGAAAGGCACGGAGGATTGACAGTTTTAGTAATGCCAGGGATGCAGTTAATCACACTTCTTTGGAAGTTGTCAAATACTCAAACACTAGTAGTTTGCATCCATTTCTCCTTATTTAGTTCAAAACTCACTGATGAGGCTTCATATTTGCTTTTATCCATCTACTTGCAGAGTTTCAAAAAGTTTGTGAGTGGTTTCCCAAAGGAAGGAAGGAGACCAGTAGGTCCAAAGTAGGAGCCAGTTTTCAAGTCAAGTCCCAATATATTTATCCTAAGACTACTTACAAGAAGGCTACCATGGTGAAAAAGCCAATAACACAAGGTGACCAAGATCCAAAAGTAGCTTAATGAAAATTTGATATAAAACAGAAAATAATAATGAGGAATACAATCCATCAGAAGGCACGTACACCTTTTCTTTTTTTCCTTACAAAGGTCACAATTTGATGTTTTCAGAAAGAACTGGGTATATAACTGTAACTGAAACAAAACCACTGAAAACCTGGGGGAGATGCCTAGTTAGTGCCATGAGTTATGTGGGAGGGTAGTAGAGAACAGGAACAGAATACTACGACTCAAAAACCAGACCCAGTGAACTCACAATGGCAGCTTTAACTCCTCCAAGAGCGATGAAGTAATTTCCTCCTCTTGCAAAGTACAGAAAACAGTTTATAAAAATGGATTGGAGTAGTGTTTAAATAAGTCTGTTCCGGTATAGATGCTACTGTATTCACATGGATATCCTTGTTATCACAAGCTGTTCTAGTTATTATTAATGATTTAAATGGAGCTATGCCAATTTACACCACCCGAGAATCTAGCCTAATGACCTTTTATGGGAAAATAAAGTTATCTGGGTCATAAAGGAATGTCTCTCATATTTTCATCAGGAGTACTATGGAGTTTTCTAAAGAAACCATGGCAGAACAGCAGCCCTATTTATAGACTTCTGTGCAGTACTCAACAGTGCACATGCAATTTTCATTCAAATTTAAATCTATAAGCAGTTCCTGAAATATCTCAATATACTGAGCATCTGATCCAAGAATATAAACATACAGAAGTGTTTGGGAAGAAAGTAAGGTTACTCATGTACAATTATATACAAATTTTTACTTTTGTAACAAAAAAGATGTAGAAGAGCAGACTGATGGCATTTCATAGATAACTTACCTCGCTGTCTAAGAAACTGGAAATAAGTTGTAGGAGGTTGTGAACAGTGGCAGTCTCTTCTTCCAACTCTTTTATTTTAGTCTCCTCCTCTTCACAATCTCTATTTCTAATCTCTGTTTCTTCACTGTGAGAATCATTGTCTTTTTTTGCTTTGAATGTTTCTATCCCAAATAACATCAGCTGGTCAAAGACTGCCTTTAAAGCACTTCGCTTTACCTTAATATCATCAATTTGTAAAACCTAGGTTTTGTAAACAGGGGGAAAAAGATGTATAGTTCTATGGTACATCACTCAATGAAAAGTTTTGTTAAAAACAAAGAGCTGACAATATTTAACTCCTAAATCAGTGACTGAGATTACCCAAAGATCACACAACAATTCACCTAAACTAAGTGGAATCTCCCCAAACTTTAGAACAGTATGAAAAAGCAACCTGAGCACTCAAATATGAAACCAAGTTTGGAATAAAATCTGAGGTTGAACTATATAAAATTATTCATTCAGCTCCAGCTATGCAATCAGCCTACTTTGTTCAGCTCAAAACTGTGCAGCCCTATTTATAGCTGTTTCAATTGGGGATGTCATCCTGATCCAAATGGGAAGCCTTATCCCATGTATTCTTATTGTCCTATTGTGTCTATTTTGGAAGCAGTAATAATAAAAACAAACTTATTTGGATTTTGCTAGCTCCCAAAGGCCCAAATCATAATCTGGACCCCACTCTGCTGAGTACTATTCGTGTAAGACAATAATCCCTGTCCCAAACAGTTTACGGTCTAATTTGAAAGAAGACGCAACAAGTAATGGAATGGTAATAAATTCAAATACACCTCTACCCCGATATAACACAACCCGATATAACACGAATTCGGATATAACGCGGTAAAGCAGTGCTCCGGGGGGGCGGGGTTGCGCACTCCGGTGAATCAAAGCAAGTTCGATATAATGCAGTTTCACCTATAATGCAGAAAGATTTTTTGGCTCCCGAGGACAGCGTTATATCGGGGTAGAGGTGTAGTTGCATAAATTAGTCTAATCTGAAAGAAGACACACATAGCTAAGGGTAACATTCTCAACAGTGACTTCTTCTTAAGCTCCATTTTCTATAGTGATTTAGGAGTCTAAGTCTCACTGAAAGTCAATGGGATTTAGGCTCCTAAGTACCTACGTCACTTTTGAAAATTTTACCCTAAATTCTCTTGGCCAGTGACTATATTGTCCTATATGTTTGTCAACACCTAATACAATGGGGTCACTTATTTTGATGAGGGCCTTTGGATGCTACTACAGTACAAATAAATACATAAGAATGTTATAAATAAATAAATAGCGGTTCAAGAAACTCATCTGCTATTGTCCATGTGACTATAGAGGCCTTAGGTTTGATTTAAGCTCCTTTTGTTCTGCCCTGAACTCGGGGGGGAAAAAGGAGAGCCCCAACTATGAAGCATTTTCCACACTATGGACATATGCAACTTGCGTTTGGGAAAAAAAGTGCCGAGAAGACCACCTAGAGCTGCCAGGACCCCTTTCTTTTTCACATAATACCCAAGATAGGACAAAAAAGAAAGTCACAAATATTATGAATTAAGCTTCTCAGCATCTTGTAAGCAACACTGAAGTACCCTATTTTACAGGTGAGGAAAACTGAGGCAGAGAGAAGTTAGATCAATCAGCATAAGTCAAGTGTATGTGGCAGAGCTGGGATGTAAGCCACATATATATTTCACTATTTTTTAAATCTTCAACCAACACAGCTGAAGTCCTATATACAATAGGTACTATTTTATTTAGAATTATGTACCACAGGTACAAGACCAATTTTATTCACAAAGTCACAGCCAAACAACCCAGTTCTTATCACTAAGAAAATTTTTACCTGTAGCAGCAATGCAAGGTGTTGACTGGCAAAGTCTTTGTTCTGCAGGGCACAGCAACCCAAACATAAAACTGCCATATTTCTTACAGCTGGATGGACATTAGTTATTCCAGGAAGTATCTAAAAGTAATAATTTGATTCTTTGTGATTAAAATGTACATATTGAAACAACAAAATACTTGCTACGACATGTTTGAAAATAAGTTATTAGAAAGTAAGTGTTAAGAGACCTAGAGTGCAACATATTCACATGTGCTTTTGTACCTAGTGAGTGAGCCAACTCCCGATCCGCCAGCGGCTTACCCTGACGGCTGGGAGCCAAAGTTTTCCAACCCCTGAAATATAGGATCGGCTTATGAAAGGGTCATACAGTTTTTGCTATTTTTAACCTATCCATTTTCGGTGGTCGGCTTAATAAACAAACAGGTTAATGAACAAGTATATACGGTAGCTTATAAAGGAATACGAAAATACATCACACATGCAAAACACAAAAGCAGAGATTGAGATGTTGACAGAGAAGATGAGACACCCATATATCCACAAAGAAATTGACAACTACAAGAAATGTAGTGTGAAGATGCATTACAAGAACTACACCATTTTCCATGATACTGAAGAATGTTTCTATTTTCATTTTATTTTTTCTATTTTCTATCTTTTATACTTGTAAAGTTGTACTACTTATTGCCACATACCAAGGATTCAATGATCCCATTCATTGTTGGGCCTATTTCTTTAGAAAGGGACATCTGCTTGAGGAGTTCATAACACATCAGTAAACACTTCAGTAGCGTTTCAGGATCATTCTTTAAGAAGAGAAAAAGATTTTCTTTATCAGGAATGGGAGAAAGAAAAACAAAACACAGATAATCATGTCTTTCTATGCAAGTAAAATGTTCTCTTTACACTACATTCTCACTATCAAAGAATGCTATATCTACCTACAGGACTGAAAATGAAATAGAACTACAGTTAGTTGAATTTGTGGTTCATTTGTCATTAATTTTCACTTAAGGCTAGGAGCACTTAGGTAGGATAAAAACCTTTTTTTAAAATAGTTTTAATTATATCCTTAAAGTACATAAACTGCACAAAACAGCAGTTATATTGTAGAGCATTTTTGATAGAGTACATTATAATTTACATTTGAAGTTTAAATGCAAAACACTGACAACTGGATAAAAAAAACAATGAAATGTCTATTAACAGCTTCAAAAGAAAATTAAATAAGACACAGGCCTGTTCACCAGTTAGTTGAAAACCAAAGTGAACTAAAATATCACTGATATAAAAACATAACCAGCACTTTTTGGGGGGGGGGGGGGGGGGGGGGGGGGGGGAGGAGAGGAGAGGAAAAAAAAGGAAGTAGAACCTTCTCCACGCGCATTTCTTTAATTTCAGGCTGTTCGGCTTCTTTTATCATATCACTCTTGATGCATTCCAGCTCTGTTATTTTCTCTTTTAACACCAATGCATGATTAAAATCCTGCAGAGTAATACATTCCTCCAAAGCTTCTTTTGTTTCCAAAAGTTTCACTTTTATTTCAGCCAGCTAAATACACAGAAAATGAAAGTCACAAGATTGTAACTAATTTTTATTAGCTGTAAAATAAATGCTAGACTATCTAAATCAGTTAGTCAGTAGCACATATATAGGAAGTGTGCTGTCTGTAAAAGTATATAAAATTAAATAGCCACTGTATCCATTTCCTGTAAGTTACCTACAATTCATTTACCTTAAGTTGTTGCTTTCTTATTTCAGCTGCATCTATAGGAGTGTCAACTGTAACAATGGGCTCACGAACCTCTGAGATAATTTCTGCAACCTAACATTGGAGGCAAAAGTTATTGCTATTAACACCACTTGTTGTCATTGGTCTGACTCTCAGATCTTATAGACATATATACCTGGACTTTAAACATTAAAAAAGTGTCATCCCTCTGCATAAATCCTGAGGCTTTCATTCAGATTTCTTTAGTAGATAAAACTACTACAATAAATCCCCAAAAGATTAGTGACCCTTTTTGCCAATATATTGCCCTACCATGCAAGAGGTCTAGAATTTCCTGGTAGCTAGCTGAGTCTGGAAATGTGATAGAAAGGACTGATGCCTTCATAAAGAGTAAGGGCCTGTGAATGTTCTCGTCAAAATTGGTTGAGATCTGCCAAGTTAGGAGACATTAAATACTGCAGTTTGTGAAAGGGCACCACTTTTTAAAAATTTAGTAGTATTTTCAAAAACAATCCATCAACATTCAGAAAGCACACATTCTAGATTGTGGGTGTGCACATGGCTTATTTAACTTCAGAGTTCACATCTCTTAAGGTGGATGGTGAAAATGAGACAAGGCTGGAAGAGAGGACCAGAATGGCATGTTTTTGCAAAGGTAACTATAGTGGTTGCTGCCACTTCCATTACAATAATCTGTCAAGGCTGTCTGTCACATGGCCTAGAAACAAATAAAACTACTTACAGTATGAATTCTCCTGTCATCATCTTTGATAATGCTGAGCAATCTCTCAACAAGTGAAGATATAAGGGATGTTGAAGTAGTAGGTAGAATAAGAATCTCCTGCAAGACGGCCAGTAGACGCTTCCTGTGTTTTGTTTTTTTTAAAAAGTAAAGTTTTACTGTTTTTCAAATTACACCCTCCTTTCTTAAAACACTGTGAAAACACTCAATAGCTAAGATTTAATCTACTTTATTTATTTTGAAATACATTTGCTAGTAAAGTACTAGGTTGTTCTTAGCTGAACAGTAATGAATTATTCAATTTTTTTTACTCAATATTATTTTCTTCTGCTTTTACCAGATGACACCAAATTTTCTATGAAGTGTGACCTATTATCTAAATAAAAGTGAGTGGGTAGGAACACTCATTGTTTATAATTAGTGAAGAACACTTCTATTTAAGTTCTTTAATTAAAAACTCACATCTTTCCAGGTGCAAAATGTCTTAACTAGTCTAATAGTACAAAACAACTTTATTCCTTCAATGCCTGCACAATGCAGTAAACCAAAACAAGATGGTCACACCTGCAATATTAATTAATGTGCAGTTGTATCTGGAAAAAGGAAAAATGTGGCATTGTGGGTTTTCAAGCTTATTCTCTCTCAATAACTTCCATGTCAAGTTTGCTCAAGTTGCAGGTAAAAAGATGGTTTTAACGTATCAATTAAAATAGTAAAATCTGCTCGAAATCTAAAATGGAATCTATGCCTTTTTCTTTCTGACATCACAATTCATGAAGAGGCTGTTTACTTAGAACTTAGTCAACAATTCTGGTGATTATGAGCAAGTCAGAATGGAAAATAAATGAATTCACTCTCCCATGGTGGTACTAGGTCTGCATTAATAACAGATGTATTGTTCCACTAAAGTAAGCAGCTAGGTCTCTGAATATACTCAGAAGCAAACCTGTTAAGCAAGGTGAGGCCATTTTTGCAACCAGCACAGAACTGTAATATTTTGACTGGCTGACATTTCTTTCTTTAGAAGTACATTCTAGATGTAAGCAAGTGGGTTTCCATAGTAAAGGCTAAGAAGTCAGTAAAACAAACCTGTACATGCATAAAATTTTATAAAGCTTACCTTCCTCCCTCTTCAGTGGTATCCATGCAGCCTATAATAAGAATCAACTGCTGACCTATAAATTCTTTTGTCAGCAAGTTTTCAATACAGGAAAAATCTTCCCTTTGTTCTTCACTCAGAACTGGCATGTTCTGAAGGTAACTGAACACAAAGGACAGTCATCATTAAATGCAGGATCTCTGTTGCAAAGTCAAAATACAAAAAAGTGTTCCTTCCTACTTCTGTGTAACAAAAGGTTACATCTTTTACTATCACAATACATTAATGATAAAACATTTGAAGTTCATTGTTCATGTAATTTCTTTTTGAAGATTTATACAATTCTGGATGAACATTTATAAGACATGCAAATAAAGTAGCTTAAATGTATGAAATCCACAAAAAACTACATTGAGATCTCTATAAATGTTAGAGTCAGAAAATGACAAAAGTTTATTTTGCATATGCAAGCTTAATTCTGCCTTATGTGTAGGCATAACCATCTTTAAATACACATGCCCCATTTCTCAAATAAATGAGCAATTTAAAAAAAAAAAAGATTTAGTATAACTATAGCATTGAATACTGCATACCAGATATACCGAGTCTAAGAAAGTAATTTATATGAGAAGTACCCAGTAGGCCTGTCAAGGCTGGATCCCCACTTTGAACCTTAGGGTACAAATGTAGGGGCCTGCATAAAAACTTCTAAGCTTATCTACCAGCTTAGCTTTGGTCCGCTGCCACCATCACAAGAATTCCCTCCCTGGGAAGCCTTGAGAAACCTTTCACCAATTCCCTGGTGAACACAGATCCAAACCCCCTTGGATCTTAAAACAAGGAGAAATTAACCATCCCCCCTCCTTCCTTCCACCCTCCTTTCACCAACTCCTGGTGAATACAGATCCAAACCCCCTTGGATCTTAAAACAAGGAGAAATCAATCTGGTTCTTAAAAAAGAAGGCTTTTAATTAAAGAAAAAGGTAAAAATCATCTATGTAAAATCAGTATGGAGAATACTTTACAGGGTAATCAAACTTAAAGAGCTCAGAGGACCCCCCTCTGTCTTAGGTTCAAAGTACAGCAAACAAAGATACACACTCTGGTAAAAAGGTACATTTACAAGTTGAGAAAACAAAGTGAATCTAAGACGCCTTGCCTGTCTTTTTACTTACTAGTTTGAAATAGGAGAGACTTGTTTAGAAAGATGGGGAGAGCCTGGATTGATGTCTGGTCCCTCTCAGTCCCAAGAGCGAACCACCCCTTAAAACAAAGAGCACACACAAAAACCTTTCCCCCCCCAAGATTTGAAAGTATCTTGCCCCCTTATTGGTCCTTCGGGTCAGGTGTCAGCCAGGTTACCCGAGCCTCTTAACCCTTTACAGGTAAAAGGATTTGGAGTCTCTGTACACAGAGAGCTGTTACCCTTCCCTTTATAGTTATGACAAGGCCATTCTAACAAAACACCACAGAGTAACACTGAAAATTTGCTGGCAAAGATGGGTAGGCCATATTCACAAGGAGAAACGTATCCTAGGTCATTTCCTGATTTTCTTCTCTACCTGTGCTTCTCTACATTTTTATTCCTTGGCTATGCACACATGTTCTGCAGAGCATTCCTTAGCGTCAAAAGAAAACTTGATGTACAGTATAGGTCACAAAGTGTGATTTTCAACAACATTTTTTCCAGAACACTCAGGCATTTTTCAGTAAAGGCTATTTTTCTGCCAAATACTAAGTCTTAAACTTCCTAAATCTAATCATTTCAGTGCTAGCTCTACTAAAGAAAATAATTTTAAGAATTTCTTTATAATGGGGTGTCTCCCCATCCTGAAATACACACTTTCCTCATACTCAAATGTCTGAACCATTTTTTTCCCCTCAAAAACTTTAAAAAATTGTGAAAAAAAAACAAGGATAAAATATTTTTAGCCTGAAGAACAACCATTACAAAGAAAACACTTCTGAAGAAATTGTGATTCAGTTAAAAGATTTTCCATCTCTTACAGACATTACAAAAAGAGGAAGACAAACATTTTTAAAATTGTTTGCAGCTTTGTACTCATTTGGGGACGCATTTGGGGTCATTCAGTTACAGACCTTCACAAGTGAGAGCTTAGAGCATGGATAAGGGCAGCATAGTCCACACTAAAGTTATATTTTAAAACAATTCACAACAGATTTAACATGTTGTAGCATAGGTGGCCGGTATAATAGCCCAGGGAAGGCTAACCCCCCCACAAGCCAACCCCTGCTCTGCCCTCTCCCCCATGCCAGTGCCCAAGAAGGAACTCAGCTCTGCTGTCATCTGGAGGCCTGGCGCTAGGGGTGGAATGGTGCTGGGGGCCAGCAGCCCGGCACTGAGGTGGCCCAGCGGCCCAGTGCTGGTGCCGGCCAGGGGCCTGGGACAGTTCGGCCAGGGCTCCTTTGGCTGTGAGGGGGGGGTGGCCACTTGGGGCTCCAGTGGACAAGGAGTAGGACCTTGGGTGCAAGGGTCTGGGCCACACAGCTAGCCTCCCTGAAGGAGGGGCTCATGTGTCGCCCATGTGCTGTAGTTTAGGTTTTCCAAAACCCATACTAATAAGATCAGGGAGTAGTGAAAGGGTGGGAGGACACTTTAAACCAACAGCTGCACAAATTATAACACAAGATGTAAAAGAAGAGGGTGCAACTTATTTTTCTGATTGAGTTCCATGGGGACCATTCCAAACCTGAAACCATTGCAAAATGCAGCTCCCTGCTTATTAAGCAATTTCATGCCGAAAGAACCTGTGCTCCATGATCTGTACTGGCTGCTAATTTCTTGGCGAAATTTAAAGTTACCCCTTTGGGACCTAAATCATTTAAATTAAAGGGGTCTCTCTGTGAAGGATCTGTAACTGTGGAACTCACTCCCCGTCCTGTGTCTCAAAGCCTAGATTATCTTATTCCAGTCTTTTCCTGGTGGGGAGAAGAGAGAAAGGGTTTGAAGAACATTGTCAGGAAGGAAGGAAAAAGTCCTTTATGGCCTCTTAAATTAAAATGTACATGTCATCATTTTACACCCACCATACTGGATTAGTGCTTTTATAAATATGAATACATTTAATAGACTGACATCTATAAAGTTCATAAAGCATGTTAGCAGCATCCTCTCTCTTTCTGAAGTTCCCTGCCTCATTTACCACACAGTTGTCAATTTCTGCAACAAATGAGGCAGGGGTCCTACAGACAACAGCCTAATTCACCACACATCCCAGATCACATTCCATCTTGTGCACTGAAAGAAGCAGGGGTCTTGTGGAAAAATTAGTATGTGATCAAGTAAGTAAAGACTGTCATAATGCATACGCACAGAGGGACGAAACTGAGGTTGCACAGAAACCCTAAATCTGGCATTTCCTAATTTCTGAGTCTTTGACTATGAAACCTTTTAATAAGGTTTTTCTGGAATGTTTAAAGATGTTTAATTTACTCCTGGGGAAATTCTGTGCCTCTGCGCATGCACAGAATTCATGTCTCCCATAGATTTTTTTTCTCCACAGAATACTTCATGCTGATGGAGAGGCGCTGCAATTACTCCTTTCGCCTACCAGGGGCTGCTGTGGCACCAGAAAAGAGGACAGACGGCTCACAAGCTGTAGCAGTCAGCCATGGAGAGGAAGAGAGCAAAGGCTGCTTTTCTCACAGCAACATGCTTGCAGGGCCAGGTGAGGGAGAACAGTATATGGGGGGGTAACAGGGTGCAGGCCAGGAGATCCTGAGCCAGGCCCCGTTAGCCCAGCTCCAATTAAGAAGTATTAATTCGGGCTGCCTGAGTAGACCACGCCAAATTGCTAGAAGAGAAGCACCTGCGGGCCTCATTATCCAGGGAGCTATATAAGGCTGGCAGGAAGGAAGTGAAGGGGGGGGGGGGGGGGGGAGGGAAAGGAAAGGGGGGAGCCAAAGGCTGTGCATCCCTGCTGGCTGGAGAAGCTAGCTGTCCCCCAGGTTGCTGGTTTGGAGCAGACTGTAAATAGAAGGTGGTGGGAGCTGACACTGAAAATAAAAAGCACTGGTGATTGCACTCAGAAGGGGTCTCTGGCTGATTTGTTGCGAGGGCAAGCGAAGGCCTCGTTACGGGGGGGCACAGACAGAGAAGGGCACACAGGGCCGCTGGATGGTCACCTAGACGGGTTCAGAAGGGCTAGTGGGAGGGACAGACTGGAGTGAGAGTACAGGAGCTAGTGGGGTGACAGCATTGAGCCAGGGCTGAATGGGAGTGGGGTGCAGGGACACATGGGCCCTGGGGGAAGAAGGTGCAGAGAGAGATGGGGATGAGACAGATGTGCCTGTGGTTAGAGTCTGCGTAGGGGAGGCTTCCCAACTCCCTAACAATCCTTTCCTCCCCACAATAAAAGCCTGCTCTATACTTCCCTCCCCCCGCACACACAAAAAACCCCTCCAGATTCACTCCCAGACTCCTAGCAATTACTTCCTTCTCCCTCAGCTCCTCCATTATCCCTTACTCCCTCCAAGCCTTTGCACTGTTGCTAAGGAAGGGGTGTAGGAAAACATCTCTGTATTGTAGTTTAAATGAATTATTACTCAAAGGTCTGTATTCATATGCCTAGTAAGGAATCTATTTGTCAAAAAACATTTCCTGAATCTTTTTTTGTTGCCCATATTGTTATGGACATACTTGCTGACAGGTATTTTGAAATAAATGACCAAAAATAATTGAAACTGGTGTGATTATATGGCGCAAAAAATTAAAAATACGTGCGGCTCATTAATTATGCACACACGCAGTGGCACAGAATTCCCCCAGGAGTAGACATTGGGTCGCCCTAAGTATATCTATAATATCGACCTAGGCATTACACCTGTTGCGGCGGTGGAATTAAGTCAATGTAGTGGGTGATTTACATCAGAGGGAGCTACGTTTTAGTATAGACACTTACAGAGTTAAATTGACGTAATCTGTACTATACGTTTTAGGATAGACACTTACACTTACAGAGTTAGGTTGATGTAAACTGACCTAAATCTGTAGTGCAGACCACCCATTACAAATATTCTCAGCAGTTTTTCCTATATTAGTGGTAATTATACATTTTTAAATATAATTACCTCAACAGATAATCTGAATATGTGGCAGGTTCTGACAAAATCTGCTCCATCAAAGCTTCACCTTCTTCCCCTTTTGATTTTAGATACTCACAAAGGGATCTCCAATATAAAGCACTCTCAGCAGTTAGATCTTCCACTGGAATCAATTTCCTAAAAATAAAGAGAAATAAATACACACACATACCTGTTCAGATCAGTTAAAAATATTAGAAACCTAAAAGACAGAGAAGGTGGGTGAGATATCATCTTTTATTGGACCAACTTCTTCAGGTTTGGGAAAGGTACTCAGTGTCGCACCTAAATACAAGATGAAAGATGGTTTAGTTTAAGTAGTTAACACATATTTCAAGGGACCATTCAAGGTGAAGTCACCAGTCACAGGGGTGCACAAAAGGCGGGGGTGTTAGTGGGTTAAAAATTGTTGTAATAAGCCATAAATCCAGTGTGTCTGTTCAGTCCAGGATTTTTCGTGTCTAGCTAAATTATGGATTTAAGATCCCACGCTCGTCTTTTTAAAGTGTTGTGTAGGTTTCCTTTGAGAATGAGGACTGAGAGGTCAGATACAGAATGATCACTTTGTGAAAAATGCTCACCCACAGGTGATAGGGTGTTTTTGTCTTTTATCATTTTCCTGTCTGAGTTCATTCAAGAGCGTAGTGATTGTCTGGTTTCACCCACATAGTTGTTATTCGGACATTTAGTGCACTGGATGAGATACACCACATGTTGTATAGGCATGTGTAGGACCCATGACTCTTGAAAGGTGTGTTGTGAAGGGTGTTGATCATTGTTGCAGTGGAGATATTTCTTTCAGGACACAGACATCTTTCCTGAACCCCACTTTCTGGCCTTCAAACAACCCCCCAACCTCTCCAAGCTCATCATCGGAAGCAAGATCCCCATAGACCAGGGCATACCAAATCAAAGCAGCACCAGACCCTGTCAGAACAACAGATGCAAAAGCTGCTCCACTGCAACGATGATCAACATTCCTCACCCACCATAATGCATCTTTCAAGATACATGGGTCCTACACATATAACTTCCCCACTCAAACTCTATAGTCCAGTTTATAGGGTCAAGGACCACAATAGTCCTTTTAGCCACAGCATTGCACCGGGACTTCACATTTAGCTGATTATACAACATAACTGCCAAGTCTTTTTCAGGTTTCAGAGTGGTATTTTATGAATTAATGAAAATCATCCTTAGAGCTTCTTGGTTTTCCAGTATTTTTGATTAAAAACAAACATGTACAATTTGTTTCATTTAATGTTGATCTGTTCAATATTCCTTTCTGATATTATTCAACAAGAATAGAGAATTCTTCTGTAGATGCCCATAGATATACTGTAATTTTTCTATCCAAAACAAATATCTTTTTGCATAAGAACATTTCAAAATATATTCTTTAAAATATTGAACTCAACACTAAACGTGTGTAATTATGATTTTAATACCCACCGCTGGCAATTTATGATCCCATTTGATACGTTGCTGAGAATGTTATAAATGCTGTGTACACTGATGGCAATTAGCACATAATAAATGGTAGTTATATTGTCTCTGTCTGTGCAGAATTCCATCTACACTGGGCAGTCAGAGTTAATCCCATGATACTTTTGGAAGCAAAGTATGGAGCAGATATGCAGCTGTGTATCTTGGCAAGGGAAAGATTGAGGATGACTAGGGGTGCATGGTGTCAGAGTAGCAGTCGTATTAGTCTGTATCCACAAAAAGAACAGGAGTACTTGTGGCACCTTAGAGACTAACAAATTTATTTGGGCATAAGCTTTCGTGGGCTAAAACCCACTTCATCAGATGCATGAAGTGGAAAATACAGTAGGAAGATGTATATAACAGTACTGATGAAGTGGGTTTTAGCCCACGAAAGCTTATGCCCAAATAAATTTGTTAGTCTCCAAGTCCTTTTCAGTTTCACTGCTTTCCAGGATAGAGTCCCCCCCATCTTGTAAGTACTGTATGGCCTACATCCTTTATTCCTAGATCATCTGCTTGCAGCCACCAAATCAAGCAATCCAGATCACACAGTATCAGTGACTTGTCCTCTTCATTATTTACCACTCCCCCTTTTTATATAATCAGTCATTATTTTGTTTTCTTCCAGGTTATTGACAGAAATATTAAATAGCATCGGGACAAGAACTGATCCCTGCAGTAGCCCATTATAGATACCAGCTCAGTGATGATTCTGTTTACAATTACATTTTGAGGTTCCACATTGTATTTAGCTGTGACCATCTCACTACATTTCCCAGACTTGAAGAAGAACTCTGTATAAGCTTGAAAGTTCGTCTTTCTCACCAACAGAAGTTGGTCCAATAAAAGATATTATCTTACCTAGGATTACCATACATCTGGGTTTTCCGGACATACCCTTTTTTTAATCTTTTTTCTCTGTTTTCAAACAACAGGAAGTGTACGAGTTTTTAAAGACCAGAGAAGCTGCAGGTCAGAAAGAGCCCTGATTGGTCCCTCCCCAGCATCTGCAGCTGATTGGTCCATTCCCCTGCAAACCACAGCTGCTGGATCCCACCCCCCCAGGCTCCAGCTTTCAGTCTTAGGGAGAGGGTCCCACAAGAAAGTACTGTCTGGCAGCTGTTACTGCATCCTGGGCTTGTGCCACCCACCCACCAGTGTGACAGGGAGCAACACTGCCTACCCACCTCCAGTGAGTACCCCCACAAGCACCTCCAATTGTACCCTCTCCCAGTTCTCCCCCTGCTCCGACAGTGTCTTCTTTTTGGGAACCTGAAATATAGTAATCCTAACCTAACCCACCTTGTCTAATTTTGAAACTTATCAGTTAGCCAATTTTTTGTACTATTGCAGTTTCTTAATCAAAATGCCTGGCAGTACCAAGCCAAATGCCTTATAGAAGTCTACGTATATTGCATCAACACCACCACCTTTATCAACCAATCTTGTAATCTCATCAAAAAAGGATATCAAATTAGTTTGACAAAATCTATTTTCCATAAACCCATGTTGATTGGCATTAATATTACCCTCTTTTAATTCTTTATTACATTGAGTCCCTTGTCAGTCACGTCATTATTTCGCCGAAGGTCAGAGTAAATTATTCATCATCCCGTTTACCCTTTTAAATATTGTCACATTCACTTTTTTCCAGTCCTCTGGGACTTCCCCAATGTTCCAAGACTTATTAAAAATAATAATTTTTAAAAAATCCACACAGGGGGTCCCCGGTGTAAGTCTCCCCTTTATCCGTTGTTTCGGATATCCATCACTCATCAACAGGAAAACATGTTCCGATTCACGTTGGTCCTGATCCACGTATCTGTCGTTTGCACGGATCGGGACCGACATGAATTGGAACACGTTCCCCTTATGGTACAGTACAGTACTGTACTTATGTCCATCCCCCTCCCTCCCAGTGCCTCCTGCCTGCCGCCAATCAGATGTTAGGCGTGTTCAGGAGGCGCAGGGAGAAGGGGGAGGAGCGGGGATGGGGTGCTCGGAGAAGAGGGTGGAACTGGGTGGGATGAGGCGGGGTGGGAGTGGAGGGGGGCAGGAAGAGGCGGGGCGGCCCTATACAGTACTGTCCTGTATACCTCCCAAGTAGTGCTCCTTCCACTATCACACGGGGATAGTGGTACATAACTGCCTGCTCCACAGGGCTGCTGTGAAAAGTAATCTGATAACATTCCGTATAGCCCTTTGAACAGTGCTTCATAAATGCTAAGATTAAGTGGTGGTACAGTACCCATCATGAGTGCAAAACGCATTCAAAGTGTTAAGAGTGGGTCTGTGTCTAAGAGAACGTCAGAGTATAACATTAAAAGTGAAATTAGATGTTATAAAGCGTATTGAAAGAGGTGAGCGTGCAGCCAACGTTGCTCGTATTCTTGGTTTGCCTGCTTCGACAGTACGCTCAATTTTTAAGAGTGCAGATCGAATTCGTAAAAGTGCTAGAAGTGCTACAAAATTGTCATCAATGAAGATAATGAAACAGAGAATCAGTACAATGGAGACAATTGAATGTTTGCTGGTTGATTGGATTGATAACCTCCATGAAAAGAAAAAGCCTGTGAGTTTAAGCTTGTTTCAGGAGAAGGCCAAAAGCCTGTACAGGTCTGTCTCATCTTACGCGGGGGTTCCGTTCCGCGGTTAGCGCGTAAAGCGAAAACCGCGTATAGCCAAAACCCCATTGAGTTCAATGGCGGGCGAAATCGCTCGCACTACAGGTATAGTATTAAAATTGTTGTTTTTCTCTTTTTTTGTTTTTGCCAACCGCGTAAAGTTGAAATCGCGCATGTTAAATGCACGTAAGATGCGACAGACCTGTATAACGATTTAAAGGAAAGAGAGAGGGAGAGCTCAACAGCAGAAAAGGAGACCTTCAATGCTAGTCGTGGGTGGTTCCACAGATTTCAGAAGCATGCCAATCTACATAATGTAAAATTCACAGGAAAAGCGGCTAGTGCAGATAAAGCAGCAGCTGAAATGTTTCCAATGCAGCTAAACACAATTGTTTCAGAAGGTGGCTACTCTCCAAAACAGGTTTTTAACATCGACAAGACGGGCCTTTACTGAAAGAAGATGCCAACGAGGACTTATATTTCTCATGACAAGAAGACTGCTCCTGGATTCAAAGCCTCAAAAGACCGCTTAACCCTTCTGCCTGAGGGAAATGCAGAAGGCAATTACAAGTTGAAGCCCTTTCACCACAGTGAAAATCCAAAAGCAACGAGGGACTACGTCAAGTCTCATCTCCCTGTGATTAGGAAGTCGAACAGAAAGGCCTGGATGACACGCAATATTTTCCATGAGCGGTTTGTAGACCATACTGTCCCTGAATGTAAGGCTTACTGTGAGAAGGAAAATTTGTCCTTTAAGATTCTCCTTCTGCTGGATAATGTAAGTACCCACAAATTAGACTATGAAGCTCCCTGCCTGAACGTCCTATTTTTGCCACCCAACACGACATCATTGCTGCAGCCTATGGACCAGGTGAACAGTCTGCCAAAGTCTCCAGGGCTCTCAATGATGCAGTGGCTTGCTACAGGGAGATCTATCGTTCAAAGATTCACGCAGGAGAGCAGATGTCGATAAAATCCTTTTTTAAGACCTCTGCAACCAAAAAGCCAGCCACGGAAAAGCCAGCAGATGAAAACTTAGCCGCCACTCCTACTTAAGTTTAATGTAATTGACACTTTTATACTTTATTACTGTATTAAAATATTCTATGTGTTTGAACAGTGTTAGTAGGGTTCTATATTATTTTATACAATGTTTTATGTGTAAAATGTGTACTGTATAGCCGGTCATTGTAAAAAGGTACAGTTTAGGCGAAAAGAGCATTGTCATAGGCGAGTGTGGTGATGTTGTGAATGCATCCCCCTCCCCCCATTCCATTATTTCTTATGGGGAAAAATTCCCCTGTATACATCGTTTTGGTATCCATTGCCCTTTTCAATAATGCAACCCCAATATATACAGGTGCCCCCCCGCATTAGCAATCCAGATAACTCCTCAGCCAGCTCTTTTAAAACTCTTGGATGCAAGTTATCCAGAGCTGCTGATTTAAAAACATCTAACCTTAGTTGCTGCTGTTTAATATCCTCCTAAGCTACTATTGGAATGAAAGTATTTCATCCTCATTGAATATGACATGATTTGCATTTGGGGAGAAAAACAGAACAATTTATTAAACACTCCTAACTCTTCTGCACTATTGACAATTCTTCCACTTCCATTGAGTAAGGACAATTTACCATTGTTAAGGTTAGTTTTGTTCACAATACTTAAAAAAAAAAAAAAAAACCCTCCTCCTCCTTACGGTCCTTAACTTTGCTGGCTATAGTGTTATCCTTGTGACCTTTTCCTTCCCTTATGAATTTTCTACAATTTCTAGTTTCTACTATACATTCATTGCTATCAACTTCCCCTTTTTTCCTTTTGCTGTATATTATTTTGTATTGCTGCTTGAACTTCCCCTCTAAGTCCGGCTGTTTTGTTAACCAGTGTAGCCTTCTCTCTCAATAGTGGGATTGTGGCTTTTCGGGCACGTAGTTACACATTCTTAAACACTTTCTAATTATCATTGAAATTTTTCTATTTAAATTCTCCCAGCTGATTTGGCTCAAATGTTTTAAACTTTGTGAAATTGGCCCTTTTAAATAACAATTAAAAAAAAAAAAAGAAGACAGACATTAAAGATGGTCAAAAGTATAATAATCACCATGATGTTCACTGACTTCACTTCCAAGCACATAGAACAGTTTCTCCTTTCCCATTAAAAAGGCCCCAATAAACTGAAATCCCATGCTGAAAGTTGAACAAAAAAATGTTAATCTTTTAGATACACAGAGCTGATTTACATACCTGTTATCAAGGTTTTTGCAGTTTTGAACTAAGTCACTAAGTGGAGATAACGAAAACATGGCATTAAGCACTGAGACAGCCACTTTGGGGCAGTTTTCTACATCCAACCGGTGAAGCAATTCTAGGACATCCCCCTCAGTCAACCGTAACCAGGCTTGAAGAAGTTTCTTCTGCACCACCTCCTTAACAGCATCTATTCATAGAAGAATTGAATCTATATTCACAGGATTAAGTATATTTCCCATGTACTTTTGGTACTCCGGGGTTCTTAGAAACTAATGCATACATGAATAATAAATAATATTATTATTATGAAGACCATAAGGAAACAAAAATTGATATGGTACTACTGTAGAAAAGGAGCAGCTACTTACATTATTACTGTAAGGAACAGTGGACAGATCCACCAATCGCTATTAGTCAAGATGGTCATGTTACCCCATGGTCTGGGTGTCCCTAAACCTCTGACTGCGCTGTTCTGTTCATTCCCTGTGAAGCATCTGGGCCAGCCATTGTCAGAAGACAGGATACTGGGCAAAATGGACCCTGGGTCTGATCTTGTATGGCAATTCTTATGTTATTATGAGAACTGTAGTCCTTCTAGACGTTTTGTCTGTGTGGATCCCACTTGTGGTGTGCACAAACAGCATGTGTGTGAGATTACAATCTCTTGACCAGCATGTTCTGCTGGCCATGCTTGTGTTTTGCATGTTTCTGTGCTTCTTCTCCCCCACATGAGATGACATACAGCAGAACAGCCCCAACCTCTTGCTTCCCTCATACATTCCAAATACCAAAAGAAATGAACTCCAAAGTAGTGGGGATAGAGAGATACTCATGAGACAAGGATACAGCTTGAAGAACCACAATTACCATAAAGTAACTTCTTTTTTAAATCTGTGTCCATACAGACCTACTTGTGGTACATACCTAGACCTTCCTATTAATTTGAGAAATGCTGAGAAGTCCTAGCTACAGCTAGATAAACAAGGATTGCAGAACTGCTCTTCTGAATTTAGCATCAGATCTAATGACCTATCTAGAGTGTAACGTTTGGTAAAGTTATGGACTGAGTTTACTCTGCTCACTACATCTAGAAAAACTAGGGTTTCCAACTTTCTCTTTGCAGAAAACCAAACACCCTTACCTTGCCACACCTCTTCTCAAACGCCCCGCCCCCGCTCACTCCATCCCCCCTCCCTCCATCGCTCGCTCTCCCCCACCCTCAACTCATTCACTTATTTTCTCCGGGCTGGGGGAGGAGTTGGAGTGCGAGCTCTGGGTCAGACTGGGAATGAGGAGTTTGCGGTGCTGGAGGGGGCTCTGGGCTGGGCCAGGGGTTCGGGGTGTGGGAGGGGGTGAGGCTGGGGATAAGGGGTTTGGGGTGAAGGAAGTGGCTCCAGGCTGGGGACAAGGGGTTTGGAGTGTGAGAGGGGGCTCTGGGCTGGGGCAGGGGGTTGGGTTGCAGACTTCAAGAGGGAGTTTGGGAGTGGGAGAGGGCTCCAGGCTGGGCAGGGTTTTGGGGCGTGGGAGGGGATGTGGGCTCAGGCGGCTCCCGGAAGCGGCGACATGTCCCCCTGGCTCCTAGGCATAGGGGCAGCCAGGTGGCTCCATGCGCTGCCCCGGCCACAGGTGCCACCCCCACAGTTCCCATTGGCCACGTTCCCGGTCCATGGGAGCTATGGAGCCGGCACTCCAGGCGGGGGCAGAAAGTGGTGCTTCCCTGGCTGCCCCTGCACCTAGGAGCCAGAGGGACATGTCACCGCTTCCAGGAACTGCATGGAGCTGGGTAGGGAGCCTGCCTGCATGCAACCGGACTTTTAACAGCCCAGTCGGCAGTGCTGACCAGAGCTGCCAGGGTCCTTTTTCAAACAGGCGTTCCGGTCGAAACTGGGTGCCTGGCAACCCTAAACAAACCTAGCAAAAATCACAATACAAAACTGTTCACATTTTACACATATAAAAAAAATTGTGATGCTGTATGACTCCCTGAAATCCTCTATTACCTAACTGAACTCTATTATGTACTTACAGCCCGTAGTGCTCTGCCTTCATATTACTTTTATACTATATCTTCCACATTTTCTTTTAGAGTATTTTTTTAAATACCTGAAAAATAAACATTTAAGAAAGGAATGGACATCCTATAAGCCAAAACACACTCTGAAATTCAAATAGTTCTCTCACCAGATCTGTCATTAAGTCCTTGCTGCAATAGTTTTACTCTCTGAGCTATGGACAAAGCTCTCATGTGAACTTTTTCTGCCAAAACCTTAAAAAAAAATTAAGCAGACGTTGGTATTTGACTATCAAATGCATGTCTACAAATTACATCCAGCAACTTGAAATTCAACACCTCAAGCTCTCATTATGGTTCTGAATGCTAAAAACCCTAACAGGATATTTAAGAATGTAAACACACAAAGTTAGAAAATTAATTTATTGCAGGGGTTCTCAAACTGGGGGTCGGGACCCTTCAGGGGGTCACGAGGTTATTACAGGGAGTGCAAGCTGTCCGCTTCCACCCCAAACCCTGTTTTGCCTCTAGCATTTATAATGTTAAATATATAAAAATGTGTTTTTAATTTATAACAGGGGGGTCGCACTCAGAGGCTTGCTATGTGAAAGGGGTCACCAGTACAAAAGTTTGAGAACCAGTGATTTATTGTTTCCACAGCAACTCTAAGTCAGCCCTCTTGCCATAATCCTAGACACACTAATAAGGCACTGATATCTATGATCCTTAACATAACTGAGCAGCCAGACCGCCCCTTCACCCCTCACTTGCGCTCCCCCCTCCTCCTCCCACACACACACACACACTTCATTTTTCTTCAGCACAGCTCTGCTTAGCTCCCAGTGCAGAATTGGAGCTTAAGTCTTCTTTCCTTCCTGGCTTAAGGGAAAAGATTCACAAGTAACACTCTGATTAAGAATGACTTTCCATTTAAATCACTAAACAGAGAAGCCAAACCTGTCTGTAATGATAGAAACAAGACTGCTACATTACTTAAACCCAATTTTTTTTCTTCCAAGTCCACCAATATGAGGATTCAGTCCAAAAACAATTTAGATTATTGAGGGACTCTATAAGACAGAAACTATTTAAGATATAATTAACATTTGTTAGTCATCATCCCAAATATTTTGCTTGTATGTGATAGTTTCTTTTCCTTCAGACTGTAAGCTCTTTGAGACAGGAAGCGTTTTCTCTTTTGTGTTTTACAGAACCTAGCACATGTGGGTGCCACCACAATAATATTACTAGTCATTCATATTACAATAGTACAAAAAGCACGCCAAATAAGTACCACACCAACACCAATAGCCAGGTTTTAGGAAACAATATCTATATATACAGATATAAAGTTTGATTCACAGCCACACCTGCTGATGGGTAGAGAGAGACTAATAAGTAGTAAGGAGATGGACTATATGCTTTCTGTTCCTGAAGAGCTGGGCTCTAGAGCCCATGTACTCTACCACACGCTACTTTTTACAATGGCGCTCCATGAAGGTTATATCATGAAGGAAAAAACTGACTACTTTTTCTAAAGGTTCAGGAGATGCTACTTGAAAGATTCCTTTAATGTATCACTCTCTTATGCAGTGACTTTTCTGGTAACTGAACATACTAACCATTTTAGCTACTTTTCTTACTGGAAATACCTTGTAAGCTTTATAAAAACATATACTACATCTCTTAAAGTCTTGAAACTGAAATTAAGAGACCTGTTTACCTCATATGCCAGTTTCCTGACAGCCTCTTTTATATCCATAGTGCGGCCTACAATTTTTGGCAAAGTCTTAGCTGATGGGGCAATACATGACAACACTGCACGCCTCACTTCTGAACTTGAATCATTTTCAAGCAAAGCATTGTAAACTGAAAAGAAAATATCAGTCATTAGCACTGTGTTTCTTAAAAAAGATTCATATCATAATAAAATAAAACCCATTTACGAGATGCCTACAAACACAACGTGAGAAATAGTTCAAATCAATTAAAAATTCTCTCTGTATAACCCTTATGCTGTAGGTACTTTGTAGAACATTCTAAGCCCTAACTATAACAAGCAATGACCTTTTGTGTCAGTTAAGGGTCCCAGCCCTCAGCTTCCCTCAAGACCAAGCCTCAAGCAGAACTTTCAGTTCAGGGTCTTTGATTGTGGAACTCTCCCATATACAAGGATTGCAATCTTCACCAGCTGACTTCAGGCACAACAAAAAGCCCACTTGTTTTGGCAGGTTTATCCTGATTTTTTTACTTTGCAATACTTTATCTGTTAATCTCATTTCTCTCATCCTTTTGGGGGCATTTAAAATGCCTGTTATTTGACCGTGCAATATTACTGAGGGCTACTTGGTTTGACCTTTTGGTTGGCAATCTATTGGGCTAACATCTTTATTTTTATTTGTGTTTTACTATATGGCGCTTTATGCTACTAGGTTAAAATAAAAATAAAAATAAAAAATAAATTAAAACTAGTTAACTAACTAGGTTAACTAATTTAATATGTTCTGTAACATTTAAAATTTACTTATTCAAAGGTTTTCTATCCTATTTATATATATTCATTCTCATATATATATATATAAATATAAATATAAATATAAAATACACACACACACACACAATTGCATTGATAGAATTAATAAACAAATCAGCTACATTTTTGTATAGTATTTCAGGTTTAGTCAATACTTACAAAGAAAATTTTAGAAGAGATTAAGTCAACTGTGCTTACTAAAAGAAAAGATTATAAAAAGTATACAAACACACCATTAACCACAGGACAGTTCTCATCATTGGGATCCTGAAGTCTAGCCAATGCCAGTACAGCTTGGAGTCTCACATTTGGAATCTTATCCCTCAGTCTAATTAGCATGGCTTCATTAATTTTATCAAAGAGATCATCATCAATCTGGGCATTTTCTGGCATACTTCCCAAAAGCTTATTAACAAGCTGGCACACTCGAAGTCTAACAGCATGGCTGTTCGCACTGTGAGACTAAAAACAAAAGTTATCAAGATAGTGGCCAAAGGGTTATGATTTATAACAATTACAACATAACAAACAAGTTATACATCATGTATAACTTTCCCTCATTTTTACATCACACATAGATACTGATGTATAGCTACTTAATACTGTGGGTACACAACAAATACACATTTTTACTCTGGAGCCAACAAATCACAATTTAGACTGTATATCTACAAAGACTTATACATATGCTTAACTTTACTATTGTGAGCATTCCCACGGAAATCATGGTAGTCAAATTAAGCAAAGTCTTTGCAGGATTTGGGCCTTAAGCTACAAAAGAACAAGTCTTTCCTAATAAGTATAATACAACACTAACTATAATGTGCTTCCTCATAGCCCCCAATGAACCAAAATTGAATACAAAGAGCCTGATTGTTCTTTGAAAACGTGTGGGGGGGAATCATTTTGTTTTAGTATTACCAATTTTGATTGACCAACAGTCACATGGACAGTCCCCTCCCAAAAAAACAAAGGTTTTTTAGTTTCCTGAAGCTACCAATTTCAAAAGCAAACATACTTCTATTTGTGATTTCTTCTTATTGGAACTTAAATTTAATTAAACTAATAATAAAATAGTACAATAGTGAATGCACTATTTAGGCAAGATCTACATTAGAAAGTTTTGCTGGTTTAACTACACTGGTATACTTAAGCCAGCAAAACTCTCCTAGTGCAGACATAATATATCCGTATGGCAGTGCTTATATTAATATAGTTTATGCCTATTTGGGGAATTGGCATAAACGATACTTGTATAAGAACTTTTATACAGATCTGAGTGCATTTGCACTGGGGCTTTTACTGGCATAGCTACATCAGGCAAAAATAATAATAATAAAAAAAAAATTACTCCCCTAACCTACCTATGCCAGTAAAACTTAAGTTTAGACCAGGCCTTAGATTTATATAGTGTTCACTTGGTAAGTACATTACAATGCCAAGATTTTCCCTTAGATGGAGATTTCACCATCACATTAATAATTTGATAAATGTTGTCATGGTACCTCAAGCAGAAAATTAAACAAATAACTCAGAAGTGAGTTTTCTTCTTCTTCCTCATTACCATCTTCTTTCTCCAGCTGATCAAATGAAGTAACAAACTTAGCTGCAAAATTTATCACTTGTTCCACTGCTGGTTCCCGCTTGTAGATTATCATAGGATACTTAAGGTAATGAACAAACTCCTCATGAAAAATCATCTTATCCTTCAACTGAAATATATCAAACACAGAACGTTAACAATCTTTCCATGACATTATCACAGAAAAGAAAAGAGGTGGTGTCTCAGATAGGCAGCTCCCACTTAGGTCTTTATAGGTCTAAAACAGTAAGCACAGATCCACTGCATAATGTGCTTTCAGCAAAATGTCCTGCTTAGTAATTGAGCTGTCACAATTTATGCCATAGATTGAACTCTAGGCTCCCCTGTAAGTTCAGCTCAAGAAGCTAAAACGTTAAAACTACAACTTGATGTGTCTACACCAGTCTATAGAGGTTCTTATACCACTTCATCTCTGTAGTGCCCGAGTACTTTCCAATAGTGCATTAGACAACTTGAGTGATATTGGTCATATGTAGTTCATGCTCTCTCTCATCTTCTTCCCTGGGGGAGAATTGTGTGTGCAGTGCAGTGTACTGTTTTTTGATAGAGCTTTGCTTTTAGGTTTTTTAAATGTACATGCTGCTATGCATGTTAGAGAAAGCAAAAGTCAAATAATAATAATACCTAGTTTGTTTTTCATCCACATAGCTCAGAATGTTTTATAAAGAGAGTCAGTATTATCCCCATTTTACAGATGAGGAAACCAAGGCATGGGGCAGGGAAGTGACTTGCCCATGGTCACCCAGCAGGCCAGTGGCAGAGCTGGGACTAGACCCCAGTTGTCCTGAGTCCAGTGCTCTATCCACTAGGCCACACAGAAGAAGCACAAGTTGCAGGTAGAATGGAAAGTGTGGAGGTTGGTGATGGCCCTTAGTTCAATTAGCATTTTAAAATGTGTCCCCCACACCTCTGTTCTCCTGTGGACAATCCCCAGGAGAATATTCACCTGATTGTAGGTACGCTTCAAAGCTGCCACTAGCTTTGCATGGTTCTGATGAGGTTTCTGAGCCATCTCGAACGCATCTTTGATTTGCAGCAGCTTCTTCTCCGCTCCCATTGCTGGGGAGATACGAGCGCGTCATTTACCAGGGGCGCTGGGAACATTACGGGATCGCTGCAGGGCCCAGAAGACCCGCGCAGCCCTGCTCATGTCCACGGACCACTCGGGCCAAGCGGCTCGAGCTGCCAGCAGAGCGGGGCTCGGGGGGGCGGTGAACAGCAATGGGCTCGCGCCAGACGACTGCATACTAAAAAAGTTCCAGCAAAGTCTTTGCAAACTTGTGTCGAGTTCGCCAAGTAGTTTCGGCTGACCCGCCCCACACATACCCACGGAGGGGCGGGGGGGCGCTGTGCCGGATGCAGGCGCCTGCCCCCAGCCCAGCGCCGCTCCGCCCGTGCGGAAGGAAGGGGCGGCGGCAGCAGCTGCGAGACCCCGGGGACTCGCGTGCGCGGACCAGGACGCGGGAGTAGGGGACACAAGGGAGTTTTTCAGGCGGTAACACACACACACACACACACACCCCGGGGAGCGGGCGCCTCTCACCTGCCGGGCCCCGAGCTGGGAAGCGCGGATCTATCGCGTCGGTCCGTGTCAGCCCCGCTCCGGGCCTCGCGTACCGGCCACAGCTCCCGCGCTGCTGCCGTTACCTAATTCAAATCGGTCCCGAGCGCCCTGAGCAGTCTCGCGAGGATTCCGGTCGGAGAGCGAAAAGCAGGAAGGGGGAGGAGGCACTAGCAAAAACAGCCGGGGGAGGGCGGGCGACCGAGTAGTCGTAGGAACAGCCGGGAGAGTTCGGACTAGCGGGCCCGTGTAGTAGTGGGAACAGCCGAGGGGGGTTGTGCAGTCGTAGGAACAGCCGGGAGCGGGTGAGCTGCCCAGGAAGTCGGAACAGCTGGGGGAGGGAGTGCAGTAGTAGGAACAGCCGGGAGATGGCGAGTCTGGCGGGGGGGTGGGTACATTCGTAGGAACAGCCGCCTGGGCGGGGAACAGTGTGGCCGGCGGACGGGTGGGGATACAGCTAGATTTCATAGAATCATAGAATATCAGGGTTGGAAGGGACCTCAGGAGGTCATCTAGTCCAACCCCCTGCTCAAAGCAGGACCAATCCCCAGACAGATTAATTTTACCCCAGTTCCCTAAATGGCCCCCTCAAGGATTGAACTCACAACCCTGGGTTTAGCAGGCCAATGCTCAAACCACTGAGCTATCCCTCCCCCCACACAGCCTATGGGCACGGCCGGCGGTGCGCTGGTTTCTAGTGAACGAAGAGCCGACGTGCCCCTCTGGCGGCATAGGCGCTGCTGGAACGAAGGGTGTGGGGGGTGCTGCCTCACCCCCGGGCTGGAAGTGGTTTTTCCAGCAAAGTTTGGTTCAATGGATCTCTGCACTCTCATTATAAAAACCGTTCCACACCCCTACCACTTGGTGCAGATTGCCAAAGCTGTCGGGGGGGGTGGGGGAGGAGGGTACCACAGTAATCATGTTTGTTGCATCTGGACACTGGTGAGTGCCCTGAGCAGTGCCTTAAACCAGGCGGGGGGAACCTACGGCCCGTGGGCCAGATCCAACCCATTGCTTAATTTCATCCGGACCACAGCAAGTCTTGGCGCCACAGGCCAGAAGCCCCAAGACTCGGCGCTCCCCCGCAGGACTGGAGCCGCGAGTGCTGGCTCGCCCCAGTGCAGGGGGAAGCTAGGGTTGACAGGCTGTTTAAAAGTCCAGTCGGCGGCGCAGCGGGGCTAAGGCAGGCTCCCTGCCTGCCCTGGCTCTGCGCAGCTCCAAGACCTCCTCAACTCTATAGGCAAACTATCCAAATAAAGTGAATTTAGAGTGTTGACAGCTGCAAGCTGCAAACTTTTTAGAATCCTTACCAAAACATCCTCATGTTTGGCACAGTCCGTAAGGCATCTGCAGAGCTGAAGGATGGTAGGTGCTAACTGAAGGTTGTTTGGATGAACAGTTCCATTTCTTCCAAAGCGTGGATGTTTTCTTTGTGTAACCTTTACTTTGAGTTTCCAGATTAATATTTGTGTTTTACTGAGCTCCTTAATATTCCAAGGGGAGGGTTTCTCCATATGTAATAAACACTTTCTCCAAAAGTTTAATTTGAAATTAATAAAATACTGTATTTTTTGGAGGTAACATTAAAAGACTGAATTTGAACTAGGTCAATCTCCAGAGACTGTACGAAAAGGCAGGCTCCCCATCCTAGAGAACCCTTTATAAATATTTTGTTTCTTTACCTTTCTTTTTATCCTTGACGGAAAGCAGGTCCTACAGAGGACACATTTGTCATCTCACTTATCCTATCTCTTCTTCCTTCACTGTTTCCTTTTTCTTTCATTTGATTTTACAACTTACCTGCTATCTCTGCACTGGGAGACATGTGGGGAAAGAATTTAAAATGGAACAATGTGAATTTGTAAAAGAAGGCCTGGATCCACAAAGGAACTTAGGTGCCTAAACCCCAGATTTAGGCACCAGTGTAATCCACAAAACCTCTGCTTGTCTGTCACCTAACCCTGTAGACACCTAAACTCACTCAGCACCTAAGTTTTTGTAATAAGAGTTCCCTATACACCTAAGGTTCTGCTTCTGGGCATGCACATTGCAGCCTCATGATAGGCACTGAGATGCCTATCTCCCACATAAGCCACAGAACGATTGAACCATGGGAAGATATATATTAATTAGCTTGCCTTTCTTCCCTGTGGGCTTGATCCAGTAGGTGTGCTCAGAGGCTTCCTAACCTCTTACAAAATGCCTGGGGGAGTAGAGAAAGGAAGAAATGCTCCCTTATAACCTGTGCCCCAGTGGTTAGGGTACTCGCTCAGGATGTAGCAGGCTACAGGGTTCCCCCTCGCCTGATGAAGTAAAGGTATTTGAACATGGCTCAGCCATCTTACAAGTGAATGTTCTACCCACTGGACTACAGCGTCATTCTTTTTCTGGCCCAATTAATATTTGATTAGTTAATCATTTAATTAAAGTGGAACAACTTTAATAGGAGACAGTAAGGAAAACCTACATCAGACTATCCTATAGAGCAGTGATTAGAGCACTCACCTGAGAGGTGGCAGTTCCCTGTTCAAATATCTTCCCTTCATCTAACAGAGGGGAGACATGAACTGGTAGTCTCTGTGACCTAATTGAGTACTGTAGGTGCTGGGCTAAAGGCTGTAAGACTTCCCCCAGCCATCACCTGTTTTATGTGGAGCTATGTGGGCTTTGAGCACACCTACCAGATTGAGCCCTCCAGGGAAGACAGACAGGCAGGTGAACATCTATCTTCTTCTTCTCCTCCCACTTTGCACAGGTATAAATGACTATACAATATCAGAACAGTGGAGAATCTGAGAAGGTTCTCAAAGAGTCAGAGTCACAAAAATTGTAGAAAAGGATATGTAATCATGGAGACCGAGAACACTAGGAACTTAAATTTACTGTACATTCATGCAGAGTTTTGGAGGATGTTTTAATATCTACTTACCGCTATGTATAGGGTTGCACATTTAGGAAGGAGAAATTCTAGGCCATCATATAGGAGAAATTATAGTATTTTGTTTAATTACTCTGGCCTGAGTTTCAAATGTTCTCCTCTTCATCATACAATTGCATTCAAATTGGTCAACTTCAATCAGGAAATGAATAGTATTTTTTAACTTACTCCCAAAAGTATTGTACTGAAACCCAAAACATGTTGTGGTTTGCAAACTTAATCTTCCCAAATAATGCTCTTTTTATCCCCTCTAGCAATGATGCAGTGTATATAGAAAAAGGATCGAATACATGTCCCAAATATCTTCCCAGAAGAGTAACACTTACTTCTGTCTTTCCAAGAGAGAAAATCATTCAGACAAACATATAAAACATGACCACCAGGGGTCAGTCTTGTTTCAGTTTTGGGTCAAAGTAATGTTTTTGAGGCAAGATACCAGTTTTTTATCTGCAAAAATAATAAAACAATTTTATCTTTTCAGCTGTGTTCAAGGATTATGGTGAGTGTGATCTACATGTTGGGAACTAAGGGAAACAGCCCCAGGGTCACAAGGACCTTTAATATATTGGCAGAAAAACAGGCATATGGGTTTTTTTTCCTTACACACTGTACTACAACATAAATGGATTGTTGAATGGTGTATTAAAAACAGATACCTGATTCTTTAAGTAGAGTAGCCAAAAATTCTTATCAAATTTTCAGGCCTAATGTTTTGGCCTGATACTACATTGCTTATATAGGGAGAAGGCAATAGCAATCCTAGAGTAATACACGGTGGCTGTGCAATAATTACTTCTCATACCTTAAGCGACACTTTTAAAAACAAAATACCGGATGAAACCAATACTGTGCTAGGGAAGCAGTCACTTTACAAAAATATCTATCATTACACACAAATCCTCCACAAAATTAGTACTTGTTGGGTCTTCATTTTCTAAGGAATTGACTGGAACCACTAAAATAATGATCCTTTAAAAAGCATTAGGAATATATACTTAACAATAGAGCACCCTGAACTTTCAGGAATGGAGTGGTGTAAATATTATCCCATTAGATATTTACCCTGAAAAATTAAATTGTCCTTCTTTTTCCATTAAAGGGGTGTGCAAAAAAAAAGTTTTCAGTGCTTTTTGGTGCTCTAGTAACACAAAAGAGATATGATTGTTTTTTAATTAAACTATAGAGGTCTTTCAAAGCCAGAGTATGGACTAAATTATTTTTGATAGTCACACGTTGGCAACGCTGTTATGCTAGCTTGCATCTCAAGAAAAGTGTACATGTGAGTGTGAGGCCTTTGTACACATAATATTCTCTAGCCT